CTCCGCGCCAACGGCGGCGGCGAGGCGCGGCTGGAGCTGGCCCGCGCTCTGCTGTGGCTGCAGCTGGGTGACGCGGACAGCGCACGGGAGTGTGCGCGACGCTGCGCGGGGGACGACGCGGAGACGACGGAGGGCATCGTGCTGGCGCTGTGCGACATGGCTGATGGGGAGCACGAGGCGGCGCTGGCGCGCTGGCGGGTGCTTAGCGAGGCGCGGCCCGACGACGAGATGATCAGCGTCAACGCGGCCGTGTGTCTGCTGTACCTGGGGCGCATCGTCGAGGGGCGGGACCTGCTCGAGGGGCTGGTGGACCGCGGCTGCTCGTCGCACACGCTACTGTTCAACCTGTCGACCATGTACGAGTTGTGCACGGATAGGAGCAAGGCGCTCAAGGTGAAGCTAACGGAGCGCGTGGCGGCGATGGGAGAGTCGCCGGCAGGATGGGAGAGGACGAATGCTGATTTCAAGCTATAATTGAGCGAATTGTCTATGACGGCTACCTAAGTTGTGGGAGAGAATTCAACCCTAGGACGTCTTTTTAGACTTGTGCTGGTCTTCGCACCACTGCGAGTAAATACAAGCTGGTGTGTATCGCCGTTGAACAGGCGCTACACCGAAGACACGACCAACAGCAGCCGCCAGCCATAGCACACTGTGCGTACAGAGCCAGTCCACCTTTTGTGAAACCTGTGACACCATACCCTTCCCCTCCGGCCAAGGCACGAACCTCTGAAGCAGAAGAGGCGCATTCAGAAATACCGGAAAGTTGTCGAGGTGGTGAAAAATGACAAAGAGGCTCAAGGTGACCCAAAAGTCCACTAGCAGGTGTCGCGCCCACGATGGTAGCCTCTTCAGCTTTGCATCCAGCACGGGCGCATCCAGAACCACGCCGTTTAAATTCCAGAAAAACACCGCCTTCTGCAAGTCCACCGGCTCTGTCCTCTCCACGACGACCACCTCACCGTCTTCGTCCGCGCGGCTCCAGCTGTGCCACGCGCACCGCGGGATCCGGACCTCCGGCTCGTCCGCGCCGACGATGCGCTTCTCGCCGCCCAGGGAGACGTGGATGCGGCCGCGCACGACGCGCAGGTACTCGTCGTGGTCCCGGTGCCAGTGCAGGCCGCTGGACCAGGTCGAGCGCGGGGGCAGGGTGATGGTGACGCGGTCGCGCGCGGCGAGGTCGTAGGTGACGGCGTTGGGGAGGGGTCGAGTGATGATGGATGGGATATCTGGCATTGTGGGATGGATGGAAGGTGTAGTTGACGGGGTGGTAGTTATTGAGTTACTTCGCGATCGGCTTATAAGGGTGCGACGGGTCAGCCTGAGGTTGCCCGCATTATAAATCAAGTGCTAACTAGAGCGCCACAGTATGAAGGGCGGCAGGAACTAAATAGTCATCAATTTGGTAAATAACCCGGAATTTTAAAAATTGTAATTAAAATGCCTGTTCGCTCTCTGAATTAGATACCAGTGAGAGTCACCGCTGTATCTAGATCGTCTGATACTTTGCCAGACGCCGAGTCCCCAATACGTGTTTGCTTAATCTTAACGCAGATAAGCCTCGCCCTTGTAACTCGCTGCATTTTTTCGTTGCCGCCATCACTGGTGAGTGTGTCCCGGATCCGGAGCTGTATCGGGTGGTGCAGGATGATGCATTGGCGGATGCGGATCGTGCGCTGGCGGACCAGCACGATGATGGTGCCCGTCATCATACGGCGGCGGAGGCGGCGCGGCCCCGTATAGTGGCGTCGTCTCGGTCGGCCCCGGAACGTACCACGCCGGCCCTGAGCGGTGGTTCGCCGGCTCCCCCTCATCGTCATCGTCCTTGTCGCGTCGTCCCCGCCGCGTGGCCATGGACAGCAGGACGAAGAGCAACCAGGCAGCCACGGCGATGAAGAAGACGAAGGGGAAGACGGACGGCGGCGAGCTCGGGTCGCGGAAGCGTGGCGGCGGCGGACCGCGCCATCCGGGCGGGTGGCCGGGCGGTGTCTGTGTAGGTTGCTCGGGCGGCGTATGTGTAGGTTGCTCGGGCGGCATCGTGGGTGCTTTGGATGTGATGGAGATGCTGTAACGTGGAAGATGAGGACTTGCTCGGGTGAGAGTTGAAAAATAAGGCTGCGAGGGAAGGTCTCATGACCCAGCAGTAAGACGGCAGCCAATGATGGGACACATGTTGCGCCACTGACAGGCTACGGATTTATCCAGATGAAATTATATGCAGCGGATTGGAACTGCTGACTGACACAAACGCCATGAGTATTTTTACTGAGATGGATCGCGAGTGCTTCACTTTGCCGGTCCAGGACTTGCTTGAGACTGCAGTAACGTACTGTACAGTGCACAGTCCGTGGAGTTTCCGGCCTTGCACCAGCATCATATTGCCGGTGACACCTTGCACTGTTAAATATACTGATGGTACGGATATATAAAATCTCAATCGAATAATAGCCGTATCTAAAACCCGCAATACACAACGGCCGGAGCTCACACCAACTCCGCGGGATCTGTCTCACCAGAACCTCGGCATGATCCACCCGTTCCAACACCTCGGCGGCCGATGTATTTATCGATCTCCCCCACTTCCCCAGACAATAAAGCTTCATCGACATCATCAACGGCTTTTCCTTTTTTCATCCCCCAAACCTTTTCTTTTCCTCTTTTGCATTTCAGCCTCCCATTACACACCACACCACATCGTCCAACATGTCGGACCGTGTCGCGCAAATCGCCAACCACCTCAACTACCCCAAGGGCATGCTCGCCGGGCAGGTCGCCATCATCACGGGCAGCGGCCAGGGCATCGGCGCCGAGACCGCGCGTCTATTCGCCAAGGAGGGCGCCAAGGTAGTCGTGACCGACATTGACGCCAGTACGTTTCCCACATTTCCCCCTTACCCTCCACATCCCCCGTCTCCCGTGTGTTTTGTGTTTCTGTTTGCTCACACACACCCCGCAGAGAAGAGCGACGCCGTCGCCGAGGCCATCAACAGCTCCGGCGGCCAGGCCATCAGCGTCCCCGGCGACGTCCTCGACCCTTCCTACCCGGAGACCCTCGTCTCCCGCGCCGCCGCCTTCGGCTCCGGCAAGATCCACATCCTCGTCAACAACGCCGGCTACACCTGGGACGGCGTCGTCCACAAAATGTCCGACAAGCAGTGGGACACCATCCTCGCCCTGCACGCCACCGCGCCCTTTCGCCTCGTCCGCGCCGCCGCCGCCTACTTCCGCGTCACCGACGGCGAGCCCCGCTGCGTCGTCAACATCTCCTCCACCAGCGGCGTCCACGGCAACGCGGGGCAGGCCAACTACGCGCTCGCCAAGGCCGGGGTCGTCGGCCTCACCAAGACCATCGCCAAGGAGTGGGGGCCCAAGTTCGGCGTGCGGGCGAACGCGATTGCGTTTGGGCACATCGCGACGAGGCTGACGGCGGCAAAGGAGGAGGGCGCGTTCGTGGAGGGGCCGGGCGGGGAGAAGATTGCGCTGGGAATACCGCAGGCGCAAAAGGGGACGGGGTCGGGTGCGGCGCCGGCGAAGAGCGACATCCCGCTCGGAAGGCCGGGCACGGCGACGGAGGCAGCGGCGTCCATCCTAGCCGTGGCGAGTCCCCTGTTTTCGTACGTCAGCGGCCAGACCATCATGGTGACGGGCGGCCGCAATATGTAAATTTAGAGCATAATGGGAGAATAATGGGAGAATAATACGACTTCAAGACAACCGGGGCATTTCATTATTAATTGTATCCCGCACAGCCATGCTGCCGCCATGTAACATGCTACAAAGCATACGTTTCATCTCATCCCTTCCGAGTTTTTCCGTCTGCCCCCCTCCATCTACACCTTCAGCCACAGGTTCAGCACGCCCTTGGCGTACTCGACAATCTCGTCGCCACCCAGCTTCGACTCGCCGTACAGCCTGTCCACGAACGTGATCGGCACCTCCGCCACCGTGCAGCCCATCGCCTTGGCGCGCACCATCATCTCCATCTGGAACGTGTAGCCCTTGCTCTCCGTGCTCGAGATGACACGCTGCAGCACGCTCTTCTTGTACAGCCGGAACGAGCCCGTCAGGTCGCTCACGCCGGGGCGCAGCACCGTGTCCGCGAACAGGTTCGCGCCGCGGCTCACGAACTTGCGCTTTAGGTCCCACCCGAACACGCCGCCCGCGCCCGCGTACCGCGTGCCCGTCACGATGTCGTAGTTGGCCGTCTTCTGCAGCGCGATCATCTGCGGGATGAACTTGGGGTGGTGCGAGAAGTCGGCGTCCATGATGACGACGAAGGTGCCGGTAGTGAACTGCAGCCCGTGCACGTAGGCGGTGCCCAGGCCCAGCTTGCCCGCGCGCGGCTTGAGAACGACGTGCGGCGCGTAAGCCTTGACGAGCTGCTGTGCGACTTCTTGCGTGCCGTCCGGCGAGCCGTCGTCGACGATGATGAGCTCCCAGTCGAGCTTGCTGTAGGGGGGTCAGCGGGCGGACGGTTGCGGGGTGTGTTTTCGGTGTCTGTAGGCGGGCTTACGCGTCGGTAAAGGTGCGATTCAGCAGCCAGGTGATGATTGGCAGGTTGCGACGCTCATTGTAGGTCGGGAGGATGACCGAGTACTTCTCGCCGGTTGCCTTGGGAGCCATTGTGAAGTCGCGTCGCGGTGTTCGCAGGTGGTAGGTGGCGGGTCGGTCGCGTCGGCTTCGAGGTAATTAGGGTAGGATAAAAGAATTGACACCACAAGGTGGGAGAAAAGAAATTGAAAAGAATGTGAGCAAGTTGGGTGCTTGAATTGTCTGTGGAAGGAGGAGTTCGCGACGGTCGCTGAGCTAGGCTTCAGGACAGCTTGTCAGGTGGTGACTAAGCTGGCTGGCTTGCCCCTGAGAACTGAGAAATATGGGCTGCGAATGCACTACATACAACGCTTTGACAAAATGAGATAAAGGCTGGATTTCCAAAGAGAACTGACACTAAATTGATGGAAATGCATTTATGTGATTTTTGTCCCATGATCAAGAATGAGACGAGCGAGCGATGACGCTCCAGACGCTGTGATACGGTTCGTGATAGCCTCACGCCAGAACCAGGCAGTCGCCTACATTACCATCACCTACATGAGATACGAAGGATATGAGCTGAGAAATCTTACTATCATTAAACCAATCGTATGATTGATTGATCACAAACCTACGCAGCCACTGCCCTGTGATCACTCGCAAGTACGTATCAAATCCGAACCTCGCATCTCAGTGCCGCTTGCACAGCCCGAAAATGCAATGCAGGTGAGCAGGTTTGTTGCATACTGGTACATATAGCACACCATCCGTCATGTCGCATTCGCGCGATTGCTGCCTTAAACAGCTGCATCCCGATCCTATACGCGGCCCCGGCCTCAGCTGCGGAGTGGGCCGTTCCCCCGCCACAGCCTTATAAACATGCTTTTTTCCGGAGACAGTTGAAGTTCTTCAATCTTCCCTTATTGTCATTAAAATGGCGCTCTCAAAGTCCTTCGTGACCGCTCTGTTGGCCGGCTTGTTGCCGTCCATCAATGCCATTCAGCAGCCACCCACAACTCACAACGGCTCCCGCAATCCCTTCAATGACAACCTCGCCAGCTTTGCAGGCGACGTCATGGACAGGTGGAAGATTGCAGGCATGTCGGTTGCTGTTGTGGACGGCGATGGTGTCTACGCACAGGTGAGTATAACGACCTAGATGGTATCACATCTAACGCTTGTAGGGATACGGGTACGCCACCCTGCCAGACACCAAGGCCACGCCGGACACACTCTACTTTGCTGGGTCAACATCCAAAGCCTTCACGGCTGCGGCTGTTGCCCAAATAATCGACAGTAAAAATCACTCTATCCTTGCTGATGGATGGAGCACCACCATCTCGTCCATTATCCGCAACGACTTTGTCATGTACGAGGATTGGTCGACCGAACACATCACTCTCGAGGACGCGGCCAGCCATCGCACCGGTATGCCCCGTCATGATGCCGCTGTTTTTGCGCGCCACGACGACGGCAGCCCCGTGACCATTGCCCAGCAGGTGCAGAACCTCCGGAACCTGAAGCCCAGCGCGCCGCCGCGAACCACCTGGCAGTACTGCAACTACATGTACACCGTCCTCGGCCATGTCGCCGAAGCCATCTCAGGCAAGTGGCTAGGTGATGTGCTGCACGACTCTATTTGGGGGCCACTCGGCATGACATCCACCTTTGGCGATACCAAGGATGCAGTAGCCGCGCCGGAGCATCTAGCCACCGGCTACTACTGGGACCCCAAGGCCAACAAGTTTGTCGAGATGGGCCTCGAGAGCACCCGGGAGACGGGCGGTGCCGGACTCGTCATCTCTACCGTCTCCGACTACACCAAGTGGGCACGCTGCCTGCTCGACCAGACCGCGCCCTTCTCCAAGGCTGCGCACGACGAGATTCGCAAGCCGCGCATGCTCACCGGCGAGAACGAGGGTGGGGTCATGGGCGACGGCGACTTGACGTATGGACTGGGGTGGATGAAGAAGACGTACCACGGCGAGGTCGTTTGGAAGCATGGCGGCACCATGTTGGCCTACAGCACGCAGCTGTACTTGGTTCCCCGTTTGCGCTATGCCGTCGCGGCCATGGCCAATACGGGCCTCGCCAACTCTGCCGAAGACGAGATCGTCTGGCGACTGATTGAGGATAAGCTAGGTGTCCCTCAGGAGCAGCGCTACAATCTCACTTATAGGTAAGTCGTCTGATGATACTGTGCCCGATGGGGCTGTGTTCGATGGGGCTGCAATGTGCTGACGTTTGTAGCTTCGACGAATTCAACAAAGAGACGGAGAAGGCACTTGCAGCTGCCGAGTCAGTCTATTACCCCGACCGTCCGGAAAAGCCGATCCCCTCATCATTGACCAACAAGCAAATCGTTGGCCATTACTATGACCCAGGATACGGGACCCTGCGCATCATCGAGGCGGATGTTGGCGGCAAGACATGGCTGGTGGCGAACCGAACCGAGCCCATCACTCAGTACGAATTGCGCTTCCGGCACGTCTCCGGCAACTTTTGGCTCGTAGATGCTTATGTGACAGATTCGAACAGCATCGCTGGCACCTTTGCTGGCGAGTTCAAGGTTGGCGTGGATGGGAAGGCTGCCGGTCTGGAGATGCAGCTAACACCAAAAGGTCAACTTGGCGAGCCCAATGTGCTATTCAAGCGAGTGTAACATACTTCCGTAATAAGATACATCGCGAAAAAATACTTCGCCGTGCGCTCCGGATTAGCCTGTGATTCTGCTAGTTTTGGCCTTCCAAATGGCGCAGCTCGCGAGCCGCACCAGCTCCATTATGAATTCGTTGAGCCTTTGGATCTTCTGTGCTTCGATGGGAGAAAGAGCATCGAGGGGAATCGTCTGAAAAGTACCGACTGCCTGTATCAGGACTTCCAAGTCGGCCTGTGAGCGGTGGATCGGATGTACCAGGATGTTGACGAACAGTGCCATGGCAGCCACTGGCGCGTGTGACTGTATATACCTGGCAGGTTAGCCAGATAGCCAGATATGGAAGTTATCGAGATTAACTCACTGAAAGGATTCTCCTCCTAAAAGTTTGAGAGCCGATTTAAGAACCATCAACGTCGATCGGCCTGCCTCCAGGGAAAGGTCGACACTCGAATGCATAACGCTGTGTAAATCTTCCGGCAGCTCTTCGTTTGAAGCGCCGCATCTGCGGACCATGGTGTGGATTGAGATGAGGGTGTAATGGTAGTCTAGCTGTATACCAATAAGTCGCTTGGTTTCCTGGATGGTCGAATGCGCTGAGTTCGGGTCAGAAACGCTCAATCTAGGGCGCATCGACACAGGAACGGAAAGTCTCCATTGCTCAAGCTCGTGGTCCAATTGCCGAATATATTGCAATATTTCGCCGTCCGAAAGCTTCGCGCCTTTTTGCGAATAGAGAAAACGGCAAGTCCTCTCTTTAATGATGCTCAACTTTAAGTCACTGGAATACGACTCTTCTGCCACAGTATCCATCACATTTAAATCACAGTAGTCTTCGGTCAACAGCGGCCGACCCGCTCGCAGGGCGATGTCTTTATCGAGGATGTATAAGAGGCGGAAGAGCGTGTTGATATGTCGCTTGCGGTCGGGTAGGGTGTCCTCTGAATAGTCCTGCAACTCGCAGACCATCCGGCAAGCAATCGCATGCAAGTTGCTGTCTTGCGTGGCCAGAAATGTCCCTTGATATTGCTGCTACTGTTAGTACGAGCCATGCAATCGAACAGCCCGGCTTACCAGCAAGAGTATTGCCTGGAGCACTTCCAAACTGGATTCCCAGTGACATTTCTCGAGGAGTGATAAACATTTGGCAGCACAAGTCTCAATGTCAATCCGGCCCAAGTCAGAAAGCAAGGGCGATTTGGTCCATGTGTGGAGAGCCCAAACGCACGCCTGAGCCGGTAAAGATTGCGCTGGACAGTAAGCCTCTTCAACCGTTGCGTAAATGAGCGTACGATCCAAGAGTGGAACGCAGATGTTTGAATCGAAGAACTTGTCAATTATTGCATGTGTTGCTTGTTCGCTGGGAAGCTCCCTCTTAGGGAGACTACGCGTTGCTTGCACGCTGCACATTTGCCGGGGCGCACCGAACGCGACGTATTTTTGCAAAGGCAAGGGCTGTCCAGTTTTCAATTCCATCCACTGCTGGCCCTTTTTGGACAGAATTTGCAGTCCTCGAGAGTACCAATTTCGTCCAAGCTGCTGCGAAAGCCAGGGAAGAGCACCTGCGCTTTCAAAGGCGCTATCTATGGGCGATTGTATCGTTTGTGATGCACCGCGCTCCACCACACATTGAGTTTGGGCATCATTCGAGATGCCCTTATCCAGCGACGCAAAATGACTCTCAACATTGCGAGCCAGATCCACCTCGAGCTGTTCAACTCGGCGTTTCAGGGCAAAAACTGTATCAGGCGTAATTCTGTTCTGTCAGCTTCGCTCGCCGCAATTTTTGAAGCCTCTTACACGCTCTGCCTTTTCCTTTGCGGCTTTCGAGTGAATGTGCAGGGTATTTTCTGGTTGTCGCACCAGTTGCATGGCACACCAGGACTGGGAATTGAGCATTGTATCTACTTTAAGTCAGTGGAAATGCCGTATGGTGACCCATCAGATTAAACACCTTTCGTTTGAAACAAACGTCGCATGCCTTTCTGGGGGGCATGATGAGATGCAGACGTACGGAATCATCGGAGTCCGAGGGAGTGGATATCGGAGTGTAGCATCCCGATTATCTAAGCAGATCGCCGTCTACAAAGGTGCTCAGCTTGAACAGAGGATGAATTAACTGGTGATCTAGATTTTACATAATCGGAATAGCTGTAAACGACCGATATGATTGACTGGATAATTACCGAACGAGGCGTTCCATCAGGCCGGCGCGAGACATGTCAGCTCAGTGTATATAGATGAGGCAGAGTCCTCTTGCTGGGCCGGCCCTGCATTTTTCTTCGACTCTCATCGACTCTCATCATCTAGCTTCTTTATTTGTTGTTTTTAACATGTCTACCGCAAAGTGGTTTCGTCTTATTTCTACCCAACGTCTTTATCGGTCCTCCCAGACCACTACTGTCGTTGGGCAGAAGGCTTACATTTTTGGGGGTGAACTGATTCCCCGACAACCTGTCGATAATAAATTCGATGTTGTCGAAATTTTTCCTGGAAATAGTAAGAAAGCCTTAAAATAACGGAAACTTAACATAATTATACTAATTCTCATAGACTCTTCTGCGCAGACAGTTCCAGCTCCCACTGAAGCGCCTATCCCGCGCGTGGGCAGCGCGAGCACCGCTCTCCAGGGAAAGATCTGGATATTCTCAGGTCGCGGCGGCCTTGAGATGAAACCAGTTGAGGAGCATGGATCTTTGTGGTGTTATGACCCCAGAACGTCTAGCTGGGCATTGGTCAAGCCTACCGGCGCGCCTTACCCTGCTGGAAGAAGCTATCACTGCATGGCGTCAAACGGCACCAACAAGATATTTGTGCACGCTGGATGCCCGGAATCTGGACGTCTATCCGACTTCTGGTCCTTTGACATTGAAACAAGTACCTGGACTGAGCTGCCCTCTGCGCCGGCGCCGGCAAGAGGTGGTGCCTCCATCGCGTACAATCAGGGCAAAGTGTACCGCATCAACGGTTTTGACGGTAAGACGGAATTAGGTGGCGTGCTCGACGTTTTCGACATTGCATCACAGTCGTGGGCGTCAGTTCCCTACACGCCAGACGGCGTTCACGGCCCCGAACCGCGCAGCGTCGCTGTGTTGCTGCCGCTTACGATCCACGGCAAAGCGCACCTCATCACAATGTTTGGCGAGCGAGATCCCAGCGCCCTCGGACATGCCGGCGCGGGCAAGATGCTTGCCGATGCGTGGGTCTGGGATGTCACGCAGGCGAACTGGCACAAGCTGGAGACGGATGGTGAGGTACCTGAGCCCCGAGGGTGGTTCGACGCCGATGTAGTCGAGACTGGAGATGCCATTGTTCTGCATGGAGGTATCAACGAAGAAAACAAGAGACTTGGCGATGTTTGGAGATTGAGCTTCTGATGTGGTGCCATGCTGACAGTTGCGGTTCGGTTTTCTCTGACAAGCGGAATCTGGTTCGAAGAAAGATAAATCAACCATGATTAGTTTTGAAAGTCTCTCTTTATTAAGTAAAAAATCTTAAAATATTTGTAGTGCATTTGTTCTCGGCACAACAATTTTCATAAAGCTAGTGCCGAGAGAAGTTGGTGGGGCGTCCTTTTTTACCTCTTCAACATCACGACATGGCGTCCGTCGGTGGTCTACGGCCTGGTGATTGAGCTCGCAGGAATCATACGTTGACATGGATAAGCTCCTGTACGTCATGGGCGAGCTGCAGTCGCAGGCCAGCCTCGCGACCCCGGCCATTCCCAGTGAGTGCGAGCCCGATTGCTAGTCGGCACGCAGGGTCTACGCTAACCACCAACCCTACTCTGTCGCAGTCTGTGATGAGAAGCTGCAGCAGCTGGTCGAAACAATGACCGGGCCGACGCTGGGAAACCTGACGCCGGCGCATGTGGACGGCATCCTCGTGGCAATGGGCCGACTGGCGTTTTCACCGGCCGGTATACCGAGCGGCACCCGCGAAGCAGTCTTGAACTGCCTGGAGAGGATGCTCAAGCTCTCTCCAGAGATTAGGATGTGCTTTGCAGACCACGGTCATGTAGAGAAGTTGATTGACTTACTTGCGGTATGTTCGCTGCGTCACCTCACAGTTCCCGCTGACCATACAGAGGTCCGACGTACGAACCGAGGAGCCGCTGATCCTGTCGACCGTTGAGACATTGGTGACGTTGTTGGCCGACTACATAGTCGATCTACGGATTTACTTTTGTAGTGACGGGATGGCGGAAATTATCGACAATGTAAGTAGCCGCCCCCAGCACTAGTCCGCGACTAACATCTCAGATGCTGTATCAATGCATGCTCGAGCCTCGCCTTCTGGGCACTGATGGCCCGGCCGTGGGCGAGGCCGCACTTCGTCTCCTCCTCGCTATTACCGACCGCTTCCTCAACGAAGCCGGTCGGTACAAGGAGTCCTTCTACGCCGCCTTTGTGCTATTCCTGAAGCGCCGCGGCGGGCGCTCCGGCCTCAAGGGCGCGCGGGGCCTGCTCGTGCAGTGCATGCTGCGGTGGCTGCTGCACACGTACCACCACGGCGAGGAAGATGGGGGTGGGATCGACGTGTGGCCGCTCGTGGACCTCGAAGGGCTGTTCGTGGCGCTCCGCACGGTGCTGTCGCCGCACGCCTCGCAACTCGCTCAGCGCACACATCTTGCGCCGCTGGTCGAGGTGCTGGCATTGCTGGCGCGGCAGGGGCCGGCACCGCTGAGGAGCCAGATGCGCGAGATGCTTCTCGGCGAGGGCGGCGGCGACTCAAGTGACCAGGGAGCGGGGACGGGTGGTGACTCGGTGCCGCAGGCGTTGCTTCGGCTGTCGAGAGGAGCGTCGGTGGAGTTGTCGCGGCCGCTGAACGACTTGTTCGCAGTGTTAGGTAGCTGTTAAAACATCTGATTGCATTGAATGATAGATCTAGGATAAAGTAACTTATATCAACATATTGTAGTTTTGGTGCTTTGACTAGAAGGATTCGGTACAACGTGACTTTTAGCTTTACATGCAATTCGACTACACTTATCAGATATCTACGGGCCACTTCCATTTCTTCGCCCTTTTGTTCAAATTTTTTTTCCTACTCAGCAACAGCCTCCAGCTATCCTGCATCGGCGGAGATTTACGCCGCCTCGAAAATGGCCAGAAACATCTCGTTGAATTGTCATGCCAAATGAAACCTCGGGCTAATCTGATCGCTCGCCAATAATTATGCGGTGACAACGTTAAGCGGCGATGAGTAACAATTTAAGTCACACCAGTTGCTAATATAATGCCCGCTTTCCTTCCCAACTAGACATCTAAGAAAATTTGGAAAAAAAAAAAGAAAACCAAAGAGAAAAAGAATCCTGCATGTGTACTCTATTAACTTGACCCTTGTATCGTAATCTCACCTCAATCTCACTTCTCAGCCGAGTTCAAATGCTGCTTAAATCTGCATTGGCGACCCATGTCTTGCAGCTAGCGTCGCCTGACCCCACTTATTCTCGATTCCCCGCAACCGGTCGGCCAAGGTTAAAAACAGGTACATTAGCTCACATACAAAGTCGCCACAGTTCCAAGTACCTGTACTGTCTCGATCTGCGTTCCCGCACCGTCCATCGACCCCGGCCGCCCACAGATCACACAGTCCGCACACCTGCAAACCCTGCTTCGTTTTCAGCTTGTGCACTGTGTACCCCCGAGTCTTGTTCCGTCCCGCGATCGACTGGTTCTCCAGTAACTGACGCCTTCTCAACGAGTTAAAGCCCTCCAGCAATGTTCAGCCTACCGGTAAATATGCGGCCCATCCTGCTGTTCCCCAAGGACTAGGTCGGTACTCGTGCGCGCCCCCAGCCATTCCGCTTCCTTGGTATTGCCCGTTTCCTGGTGCCCCCGACCATTTCAAGGTTCCATTGCTGCGTTCGTTCGTCTGCTCTTAATACCTCTTCATCTTCATCGGTTCAACTGCCACATCCCGTATCTTGCATCATCAGTTCCATCAACTCGACCCAGCTTACAGCTGCTGTGTGATATCGACCATTGCACGTTCGTGTGGCCCGTCCCTGCCATTCCGCCCTGCGATCCCATATCCTCCCTTAGTCATCATCGGTTCTCTGTAGGTACGACGAGTTGCAGTGAAATAATTCGGATTGCGCGCATCTGAGCTTGCCAATTATCTGCGTGAGCTCTCATGCAATTATTTTGTTGCAACCAATCCTCACTGCTACCTAAGGCGCTAACACTGCTACAGATTGAGGCAAGATGTCTTCCACGGTTGATCATGCCCCGTTTATTCCGCGCCCACGCGAAGAGCCGTCGACAACACATCCGAGTGCTGCCCCTTCAGCTCCGATGGGGTCCAGTCTTCCGCCTTTTGGCTCTGCCCCTGTGAAGCCGGCCGAGAGGCCGTCTCTCTTTCCGGGGTCCGGCACCCATGCACCAGAACCACCCGCTGCGCCGCTGCCTGCAAAGATCGCCGAGCTGCCTAAGCCGGTGGTTTCTGAGGCAAAGCAAATTTCCGAAACCAAGCCGATTGAGGCGAAGCCGGTTACAGAGGCGAGGCCGGTTGTTGAAGTAAAGCCGATTATCTCTGAACCCAAGCCAGCTACAAGTGCCGGCGCCTCGCTACCAAGCATCTCCAACCTAGATGCGCCGCCGCAGCCACCCAAGGAATCCGCCGGAGAACCCCCCAAGCCTGCCACAACCATTTCAGGCCCTGCCGTGCCGGAGAAGGCTACTGGAGCTGCCGCACCAGCTGCGGCCGCGCCTATAATGTCCACTCTCAATAAGCCGACCGAGCCTGCGCCTGGATCATCAGCTCTCAATAAAAGTGTTGAAGCTCCGGCTCCGGCCGCAGCTCCGGAACCTGCCATGGCAAATCTGTCTCCGCCGTCGTTTCCCCGGCCCGTCGAGGTCAAGTCAGTGCCCGACACGCCTGTCAACACCGGCACGCCCGCGGGTGGCACACCCCGGCCCGTTCTGGACATTTCGCAAGAGCCGATCCAGAAGTCCGAGCCTGCGCAGCCCGCCCCGACCTCTGCACCTGAGGTGGCGAAGACGGATTCGTTCCTGAACGGGGCGACCGAGAAGTCGGTCCCTGCCACACCTACGCCCACACAGGCGTCCTCCGTTCCCAGCACGGCGGCTGGCCAAAAGCGCAAGTTTGAGGACGAAGCCGACGCGCTCAAACCGGAGCACACTGAAAAGAAGGCCAAGGCTGATGAGCCGGCGAAGCCCGACTCCAAGGATGGTGCTGCGCCTGCTGATGCAGCGCCGGCACCGAGGAAGGTGGGCCGGCCGAAGAAGAGCAAGACGCCGGCGCCGGTGGGCCGTACGCAGCGCAAGACACGCAGCCAGGGCCCTGCGGAGGCGTCGCTTTAGGTGGTAAAAGCGCAAATCGATTTAAAAGGAGGCAAATTTGATTTGATATTTGGAGCTGGTGGGTGATGGCTCCGTAGATGGCTACAGGCCCTGATCTGGATGCGGCGCAACGGATTGACTTTCTAGGTATAACGCACGGAGGTACGGAACGTGATTAATGTTTTTTAACTCGCAATAATTTACAATCGACTGAATAATGCATTGCTGGATTACCGAATTCCTAAATGATTGGGTTATGCTGAGTTGCTTGAGTTGTCTGTAAGCTGACTGACGATACTTTGGCAAGCGCGATGAGAGAAGGCGCCAATGAAAACGATGGTAGAACTCGTAATAAATCGTCGTAATCGTCAGCCGAATGAATTGCTAAAAACTTGTTTGATACCAGTTTTCAAGCCGTTGAGCTTGTGCCGCGAAGGAGGCAAAAGTGGAACAGGGTTCGACAGGGCGCTAGCAACGAAAGGCAAGAATCGGCGGTACATTCACTTGGATGACGCTGATGATGGTCTAGAACAGTCTCGTTGAAGGTAGGGGTGAAATGTTGGAATAGGCTGTGGCTGTGTCATCACTTGGTTCCTGGCCGGGTTGTTGATAGACGTTGGCAGTTAGCCTGTTGTCGACAAGATGCAGAATTGCGGTAAAAATATAGAAATCCAGAATCACAGCACGAGACAACTGGAAGTTCGAGACTGCAACGACAACTACGAAGTACCAACCTCCTAGTCTCGACGACTGCAGATGCCAAGGCGGCGGGAGCAAGCTAGTGGAAGTTGACAACCACTCTCCTACCAAGGACTATCAGGTGGCGAATATGACAATGATTTTCGTACAGAAGCAAGGCTGGCCTGCATGGATTGCACTGAGGCTCCACTGATGGTTTTTTTTTTTTTTTTTTTTTCATATTTCTAAGATATGTTAATCATCAATACAGCCAAGCAGCTCAAGCAACAAGCTGTGAACTGTAGACTGTCCACCAGTTAGTTCCATCAGAGTCAAGACTTGAGACGATACAGTGTCTCAGGTCCACCCCTAGCGGGACGGCTCCACTGCGTCGTCAGCTGGAAGGGTTGAAGAAGACATGTCGACAGGATCATTGTAGATGAAGAATGAAGAATAATTAATTATCGACGGGCACATACTTCGTACATGAGTGCCAATGAGCGTATGCCAAAGGGAGGTCATGACTGTCAGGTAGGGTGCATGCGCTGGTTGTCAGGTGTACCTACAAACAACCTTGTGCCTGCAGTTACCTCAGGCAGGACTCGTATCGCAGTGGGGCACAAGCCCGGTGAGGCGCTGCACCAGGCGGCTGGGAGCATGCAAGGACAAGAACTTGGCAATAATCGTCCGTGAAAGAACTGCCCGGAGATTTCAAGAAGAAGAATGAAAACCGAGCAAGAGAAACCGGGCATTAACGTTAAAAAATTACGAAAAACATAACCCTTTGCAAGAGGTCAGGATAAGGGTTGCGACAAAAATAGAACGCTAGCGCCAACTCCCGGGCTAATCAGGGGCCGCCCCGGCTCCCAGCTTGCTGCTGCACCGGTGTGCTGCAGCCACCTTCAGGCACATGCAGGAATCGCCAGACAATATGCCGATGAACCTTGCCAGCACGTCTGCCAATGAAGTGCAAATCGAGGCATAAGAAAAACAAATAACATTATAATTCTTTTTCAAGGAAGAAAGAACACCTGTTGCCCGTGCCACAGTGATCGATGCCCCACCTCGTACCGCCCGCGCTAAAGGCAGGTCACTCCAGGCACACTAACCCGCTGGGTACAGACTCCAGGCACAAATTTCTGAGAAAAGTCCCCAATTGTCCACCTTCTTTGTCCTTGTCCTTTTCTTTGTCTATCCGCTTGTGTATCCTTGTTCTACCTTCTTTTCCTCTCTCTTCAACCTATCCCTTTTATCCTCTTTTGTCTATTTTTATCCTCTGAGCTGCTCGCCGTCCTGGCCAAACACGTTCGCTTTATATCCGCAAACCCTTACTCAGATCAGATAACCCCCAACGATCCGACACCCTTTCGACAGCCGGTTTGCTGCCTCGCTCGCTTGATCTAGATATCTCGCTCCAAGCATTTATACAGACGATATACATACTTAATTCATCGATACGAATCCCCGCCCGGTGGGCGCTGCCGAGCTTCACCCTCTGACACCCCCAACGTCTCACGGATACGACCGACGGCATTCTCGAGCTTAAACTATCCAGTACCTCGGAGCCGGCCATGGCCACGGTTACAGCTACGACCGCGGCTCTCATGCCTAGAGATACCAATGCAAACACCAGCCCCGAGAACCCCCTGCTCGATCTCTTCAAGGACCCCTTCTCGTCTACCCTCGCCTCGGCCTCGCTCTACTCCGCCATTGGCGTCTCCATTGGCTTCACGGTCTTCCTCGCCGTCTGCTTCTCCCTCCTCCGCCCTCATAACCAGGCCGTCTACGCACCAAAGGTCAAGCATGCGGACGAAAAGCACGCCCCCCCGACTATAGGAAAGTCGCTCTTCGCTTGGGTCCCTCCTGTTCTCCACACCAACGAAGATGTCCTCATGCAGACCGTCGGCATGGACGCCACGATTTTCATCCGCTTCATGCGTATGTGCCGAAACATGTTTCTAGTCCTGAGTCTGGTCGGCGTCGGCATCCTCATACCCGTCCACCTCACAAAGGCTGCTGTCAGAGATAAGAGCGAGCTCGGCTGGCTCACCAACATTTCGCCCCTCAACGTCTTTGGCCGCGCTCAATGGGTCCAGGTTGTCGCCGCCTACCTCTTTGACGCCATCGTTGCCGGCTTCCTGTGGTGGAACTACCGTAAGATTGCCGAGCTCCGCCGCAGGTACTTCGAGACGGATGATTTCCAAACCAGTCTTGCTTCCAGAACGCTCATGCTCTACGACCTTCCCCGCGAGTCCGCCTCCGACGAGGGCATCGCCCGCATTATCGATGAGGTCGCCCCCAGCTCGTCCTTTGCCCGGACCGCCATCGCCAGAAACGTCAAGGAGCTACCCGAGCTCATCGAGCAGCACGACCACACAGTCCGCAAGCTAGAGGAGGTTCTGTCCAAGTACCTCAAGAACCCCCAGAAACTCCCCGCCAAACGTCCGACTTGCAAGCCATCCAAAAAGGACCCCTCCTACAGCTCCTATCCCTCCGGCAAGAAGCTCGACGCCATCGAATACTACACCAAGCGCATCCGCGAGCTCGAATCCGAGATCAAGGAGGTCAGGGCCTCGGTCGATAAGCGAAGCACCATGCCCTACGGATTCGCCAGTTATAGCGATATTGCCGAAGCCCACAGCATTGCCTACTCCTTTCGCAAGAAGAAGCCCCATGGCAGCACCGTGGTCCTCGCCCCCCGTCCCAACGACATCATCTGGCGCAACATGCCGCTTTCCGATTCTGTTCGCAATCGTAGGCGGTGGGCAAACAGTTTTTGGATTTTCGTGCTGACCATCCTCTGGATCGGCCCCAATGCTCTTATTGCTATGCTTTTTGTCAATTTGGGCAACCTCGGGCGTCTCTGGCCCGCCTTCAAAACCTCCCTCTCCGCCAACCCCAAATTTTGGGGACTCGTCCAAGGTATCCTGGCGCCCACCCTCACCTCCCTCGCCTATCTCATCCTGCCCATGATATTTCGCCGTCTTTCCACCAAGGGCGGCGACCAGACCAAGACCGGCCGAGAACGACACGTCATTGGAAAGATGTATGCCTTTTTCGTCATCAACAACCTCATCGTCTTTTCGTTCTTCTCCACCGTCTTTACCTTTGTCTTTAACATTATCAAGAATGCTTCTGCTGGGGAATCCGGCTGGGACGCCATCAAGGGAGCCAACAAGGGTAATAACGGCAGAAGTATCATTGATGGACTTTTCCAAGCCCTGTGCTCCAACGGCGTCTTCTGGGTCACCTACATGCTCCAGCGCCAGCTCGGTGCGGCCACCGACCTTGCCCAACTCTGGTCGCTGACGAGGGCTTTTTTCCTCAAGAAGTTTTCCAGCCCGACGCCCAGAGAACTCATTGAGCTCACCGCACCCCCGCCCTTTGAATACGCCAGCTACTACACATACTTTTTGTTCTATGCCACCTCCAGCCTCTGTTTCGCTGGCATCATGCCCCTGGTCCTCCCCGCTGCTGCCTTGTACTTTACCGTCGACCACTACCTGAAGAAGTACCTGCTTCTGTACCGCTTCGTTACCAAGACTGAGTCTGGTGGCCTGTACTGGCGCGTGGTCTTTAACCGCTTCATCTTTGGCACCATGCTATCCAACCTCGTCGTCCTCCTCACTACGTGGGTTCGCGGCGATGCCAGCCACATCCAGTTCTTTGCTGTCATTCCACTGCCGTTCCTCATGCTTGGGTTCAAGTTTTGGTGTGCCAACACTTACGACAATAAGATTCGATTCTACAGCCTCCTCAACGTCCGAAAGAACCCCGAGGCCGCCCGCGCCCAAGCGGAGCGCCTACGCAGCGAAAAGCTCGCCAGCCGATTCGGTCACCCTGCTCTGTACAAGAAGCTTATCACGCCGATGGTGCACCAAAGGGCCCAGAACTTGCTGCCCTCCGTCTACTCTGGACGATTGACGGACGGCAGGGATGTTGAAGCGGGCGACTTGATGACTGTCAGTGGCTACTCGGACATTTACGCTCTCGACTCCATGAAGGCCGGTAGAACTGGTAAGGCCAGCAACGTGCCAGGCTTCGAGTTTGTGTCGGAAAGCCACATGGACTTTGAGTACTTCAAAAACCGGGCCGAATTCTTGGACAACCACGGCGGCGCCGACTTTTACGGCATTGAAAGCGAGAGGGCCACGCGAGCGGGCACGCCCGTCTCCTTTGACGAACGTCCTGGGAGCGCCATGTCGGGTCGCACCGCGGCGTATGGCCCCCCGCGACGTGTGGGCACCGGCATGTCGGACACTAGCTACAGCGCCTACCGACCGAACGTGGACGGTGCACACTCTCGCCAGGCGTCGGCCGGCAACGAGCTGGACCGCATGCGCAGTCCGCTGGGCAACTTTGATAACTCGAGCTCCACTGGTTTGGTGCACGCACAGCCCATGGGGTACTCGGAGGTGCCCGGCCGAAGCAGCCCGGGGCCTTACGGGGAGTCGGGAAGAGCGAGCCCTGTCACCGGTTACCAGCCACTGGAGGGCCAGCACGAAGGGCGTATGAGCCCGGCGCCGCGGGGGTACCAAGAAGTACCTCTCCATGAGGGGCGTATGAGTCCGGCGCCGCGGACCCGCTCGCAGTCGCCGGGTCCGGCCGCCGGGCCGTTGGGTGCTGCACTGCGGTCGCAGACTCAGTCACCGAGCCTCGTTCGGAATATGAGCCCGGCGCCGATGAACCCCACGCGACAGATGAGTCCCGCTCCAATGAACCCAGCCCGGCATATGAGCCCGGCGCCGATGAACCCCACGCGACAGATGAGTCCCGCTCCGATGAACCCAGCCCGGCATATGAGTCCGGCTCCCGGCCGACAGTCCCCGGCCACGCACCAGGTGCAGCCCCCCCGCCCCTACGGACAGGACCAGTACGACGACTTTCAAGGCATGCCTGGGCAGCCGGGATTCTACGGGCCATCGCGTTGAAGCAGGATAGTCGGCAACCACGTATATAGAAATAGACCTGTACAAAGTGTAATTGACGAATGTGATGATCACGAGTGTGAGCGTTGTGTTGTTATTGTGCATCGTATCTGCATCATGTCGTGTGAGGTAAATTTTTATCTTGTCATGCACTTCGGACCTGACATTCCTTCGCCCATAGATACCTAAGAATAGAAGGGGATGGTTTACATTTGAATAGGAGATATACATTGCCTTGTGCGTGTGTGGCACATGGATTCTAGGTAACTAAGATCTTTCATTTTGTGAATATCGTGTGTGCATATAACATCTCAGAAAACTCATCAGCCTGTCTCATCCAAAAGCCTTCGCTTAAAGTTCAAATTCCCATTCTATACCCCCTTATTTATAACGACCACTCCCGGCCCCCTTCGCAGAATCTGTTTACCATCCCCTCCAGCGCGAGCCCCAGACCCTCCACCAACGCCTCCTCCACGACGCCGTCCTGCCAGGACAGCGCGATGCTTAGCCGACCGCCCGGCGCCGACGCCACGTTGACGCCGACCGCCGCGCCCGTCACCATGGCCCCGTTGGAGAAGAGCGCGCCCTGCTCACCGTAACCTTGCCCCAGGCCGCCTCCGCCGCGGGCGGTGTGCAGGCGCCGCCAGTCGCTAACGTGGTGCATCATGCCAGCGACGATGTTGTGCGTGGCGCGGCGGTCGGCCAACTCGCCGCGGACGCGCCGCGCCGTGGCCCAGACGGCGCCAGTCAGCGCGGTGCGGGAAAGGGCCCGCCGCCGCGCGCATGGCGGAAACGTTCGCGGCGGAAAACGCGTGGTCGGTCGAGCAGAGAAGCACGCGGAGAGTGTCTCGCAAGGCACCGTCCACGTCGTCGCGCATGTACCGCCGCAGGCCGATTGGGGTGGCGGCGCTGAACCCGCCGGACACCTCGTCCTCCGGAAGCGCGCTTGCCAAGTATGCGAAAACGAGCGCGTGGAGGAGTGCCGTGAAGGTCGTCTGGTTTGCGCGGCACGCGGCGAGTAGCGCGCTGGTCTGCGCGGGGAGGAAGTCGACGGGGCGGATTCTGGTGGCGTATGGCTGCGAGAAGGAGATGCGGCGGCCGCTCCAGGCGGCCGGCGCTTGAGCATCGCGGGGGCGAACTCGCCCCAGAGCACGGAGGCGACGTAGAGCGGGCCGAGCGTGAACCTCACTGCCTCCTCCTGCGGCTCCGGCAGCGCGGGGGGCTCCGGAAAGGAGAGCACACCGCTGTCGTCGTCTCCGGGCGGGGAGGAGTTGTTGAGCGCGGCGAGGAGGTGTTCGTGGAAGGCGCGCCCGCTGGTGCCGTCTAGCAGCGCTTGGTGAAACGCGAATATCACGTCCTCGTAGTTGTGCTGCTCATCCCGCACGATCGTCAGCCGCCACGGAGCCCTCGTCTCCGTATCCTGCCAGAGCGCGTTGTGCTGCGCGGCCTGCACGCGCGCGACCTCCCGATCCAGCGCCGCGTCCTCCGCCGCGGCCACGACCACCACGGACACGTGCTCCCGCCGGTCAAGCCTCCGGTATGTGCGTGTACCGCGCCGCATTGGTGTCCTCGCCGGTGATGCCGACGTGCAGCATCGGGTGCGCACGCACGACCGCGACCAGCGCGGCGAGCAGGCGCGGGGAGATGGAGGTGACGGACGCGCCGCCGGGTGAGCGGGAGCTGGGGACGTACCGCGCGGAGACGGTGACAGCGCGGTAGATGCCGAGGCTGTGGCGGGAGGAGGACCAGAGTTCCCTTAGTTTGGTTAGCGAACAGTGTAGAGAGAGCGTAGGAAAGGAGGCATTTACATAGGGCCGAGACGGCGGAGTACGGCATTCTCGGAAGGCATGATGCGTAGAGGGTCTAGATATTGAAGCGAGGAAATGGGCCGCTTGATGGCCGTGATGGTCGAGATATCGTCATAGTCGTGACGATGGCGCTGTTGTGTTGGTGGCTTGTGAACTAGATGGAAGTAGGTCGGTGCTTCCTATTAGACGAGCTGGCCCCCTGACAACGTGGCACGGTAGGTCTGGAATTTCTTTTTCAGTTCAATGAATCTGTAAACCTGTGTCACTTGAAATCTGTCTTTGCTTCCTCTTCTGAATTTCTCTGATCATTCGCTAATGACTGGAGGTTGTTGAGCTGTGGCGGCACGGTCGGTCGCGTTTTCTCACCAGCCGTCCCAACCCCATAGATAGACAGGTATAATAAGAAATATTCAGAAAGAAAATCATGAGGCAAATTAGTATCAAACAATGATGCTTTGGTGTCGTCTGTATCCTCGACACTGATCCTCGTCATGCTGCATCCATCCCCCTCCAAATACCGTCCTTGTCCACCGCGGCAGCCACCCGTGCCAAGTCAAAGCGACCGACGGCAGCGTAGAACTTGGGCATCAGACAGTCAATCGCGATTTTAAAATACCCGGGATATCCGAGATCCGCGCCCGTGTGCAGCAGCGCGTCCACGGCGATGACATACGGCGTGGCGGAGCGCATGCTGGCCTCGTCGACCATGAGGCAGATGCTTCGGATGATGCCGGGTCCCATTTCATGCGACCAAGGACTTCTTTCTTGGCCTTTGTCTTTGTCTCTTTCTTCTTCGTCATCGCCGCCTTCATCATCTTCCTCCTCCTCGTCTTCATCTTCGTCTTCGTCCTCCTCATCCAGGCAAAAGGTTTGAAACGCCGCAGACACGCCCTCTGGTCCTTGACCGGCCAAGTCCAGATCGTCGTGAATGCGCGTGAAAACCTTGTCGTGAAGCTTCTCTATCGCGCGGGACCATTCTCCGGCCATGCCCTTCTCCAGCGCGGTGTCAAAGTTCCGGCGAAAGGCTTGCCACAGGTCGTCGTCCTGGTAGTATGTGCGCATCAGGTTGAATCCGTATTCATCGAGGCCGAGAGACTCCATCTCTTCGACGTATTCGACAATATATCCACTATTCGGTTTTGATTGCGCCATGCTGGTGGCTCGTGTTGTGATGAATTTCGATGCAGGTTTTGCGTGCGGGGCTGAGGATGTTACGAGGTGACGGCGGCAACTTCTCGACGAACGTAGATGCATATGGGCCCAACCTTCAATTGATGGTGTCGGCTAATGCTGTTTTCGAGACATTATCACGAATTAGTAAGAAAACCGGTCAGATCAGACTTAAAATTTCCTTTCCATCTTCTTTTGCCTTGTCTAATGACAGCCTACTGGAGAATTATGCTGCTGCTGGTCACTCAGATTCATTCACGATTCAGTGCAAACAATTCACACGCATAATGCACTGCTCTACTTTCCTACTTGAGAAGACATATACCTCCTAATTTTAGCAGCATTCCCGGGCTACTCGACTTGTAGAAGGAGCTTCACACGGGCTCGGTGTCTGACTAGATGGGGCTCTCGCCCTCTGCGGCATCCCGTTCCAGGGAAGTCAAAATTAGGATTGTAGGATAAGTGGATATGGCAGAATGATTTGCTTTATTTTTTGCGCTAGTTTTTCTAGCGAGAAATGGTTGGAGAGTTGATGGGGTGTAAATGGGTAAGTTGACGAAAATCTGAACAAACGGCGGGAGGCACAGCAAACAGCGAGAACAAAAAATGGCAAACGCGCGGAACCGGCCCCATCCGGCTATCCAGTATTTTGCTGGCCCAGACTGGTCCAATTCGGACAAAACAGAGGCCCATACACTGGAGGAGGCCGAGCAGGGTGACTGGCGTATTCTTGAGGAGCAGAACTGCAGGGCCCTGTGGAAGGACTGCATCCAGTATGCGAACTGCACGCCCTGGGACATTGTCGGCGAGAAACCCGATAACGATTCGTACCGGGAGGCGAAAGCCTAAATTTTGCTCTCACCTGGCCCGAATCGTCGTGCACAGCATCTGGCCGAGAGGGTTCCCCGGCGCGCACGCCTTGAACATCGCCGTGGCGATACAGTACGCCGTGATCCTGCGTACCAACGATCGACGGCCATGGGATCCGGCCCCCGCCAGCGCCGATTCGCTCTACAGTATGATGCGGGAACTCACAGAGGCGGATGGGCCGATGTGGCAGAGGCACCGCAAAGGCCGCGAACTTTCCGCGGAGCAACCTATCAACCTGTCGCCCATGTCGCTCGTTTTCCGCGCTCTCGAGACCGAGGTAATCACTTCTCGCGGCTCTTTCGATATTTCCCATGATGGTATGTATGAGGTCAAGACGCAAGACCTAAAGAGCATCATCAAGGCACTGGACAACATTGTTACTCCACGTGTTGGAATCTCCGGTTTCTTCACAACCAGCGTGCAGCATCTTGCAACTCTCGCTGCTCGCACAACGGAGCCTAGTCCCTCTGCTCAGGAGCTTCCAGCTTTCCACGAAGTAGTCATGGTAGAGGAGAGACGTCGTCGCATCAGACGCCTCCGTCAAGATGTAGCTGGTGGCGTCAGTGTCAGTGACCCCTTCGCACATAGTGCTGGAAACAGTCCGGTTCCTTCTGAGCGCACCTTCTGAGCGCAGCCGACGGACACCGCAAGATCCGTATAATGCCGATATTAAAAAATGTGAACCACAAAGCCAGGACTCTGGAAGCTTCGGTTTGGTAAAGGTAAAGCCGCTACCCTCCACCCGAGTATCCGGCGCGGGGTGTTGCCGTTCCAGGAAGTCCGGCGTCCGGCATGGAAGGCTGTGGGAAAGCCCTTCCCACCGCCGATTTGCAAAGCATGATCTCTTCCTTGGAAGATAGCAAGATTGTCTCTCCTGGTGGTAGTTCCCCAGATGTGTATGCCCTGCTTGCGAGCATAGTACACCTTCCATTCCGGGGCGACCCAGGACCCCGCGAAGCTACCTCAAACCGAAGCGTCTTTAAGCGATTTTAGACGAGGTTTAGAAATATAAGAGTGCTCCCACACTAAAATTAAGTACTATATTCATGTTTACTTCGCCATGGTTAGCGGCTGCCGTGCGTGCGGAAGAACCTTTTCCAGCCGGTTGTCTGCAAATCAGCGAAGATGCGTTTTTTTTTCTTAACGAATTCCTGAGTGTTAAGAAGAGCGAGAGTGCTGGCGAGAGTGCTGGGGAGGGTGGCGGCGGCAGCGCACACATAGAAAGCTGAATACATTGCAGTTTGATAAAGATACCTTTCTTTGTGTGAAACGCACTGACAAATAGATGGATCCTACAGCTCCTTAGAATCCATTAGTAGCGTTACCTGAACTACCTGCAAAAACGTATCCTGCAAATAGCACCAGTACCTCAAAGTACTTGCTCGCTCGGGATAGTCGAATAGAATATCTATCTATTCTAAATATTCAGAAAGCCTCCGTTTTTCTGGACGCTATGTATCGTAAGGCAGACCTTTATTTTCCACCTGGGAATCACTTTTATTACGAGGTTCAGCCAGCAGCTGTCGCCATGGCCCAGGCATTCCAAGTTCACATATCCTCCACAACACCACAAAATCAACATGCAAATATCGCCTCGGCATTCGAAACAGTTGTATAGCCCCAAAGCAACACTAAGGTGGACTATGCAGACGCATACCAAAGTTTCCGGTCTGCAGATAGGTTCCGCCTTCTGGGATACGAGCATTTCGGACACGCGCCGGGTCAAGTTCCCTCGTAGACGAGGTTCTGCATGCCGCAGGTGGCAGCCACAACATCATGTACATGGTTGCCGTCGCACGCCGCTGCGAAATTGACCAATTACTTGTTACTCTGCTCCCAAAACTCGTCCGGAATCTCAAACTTGAAATGCTCCGCCAGCTCCCTCATCGCCTTGCCGGCCGTCGGACGTTCCTCCGGCCTGAAGTGCAGCATACTCTTCAGCGCCTCATTCTTGAACAACCCGAGGATCCACGCCTCAAACAGCCTCCCGTTGATGCACAAGTCCTGCCCTCCCGATCTATCTATGAAGTTGCTCCGCCCCACGCCGGAAAAGTCCAGCTTCCAGCGCCACTCGCTTTCGGTAAACGTCGACGCCCTGTACTCCTTCGGGCACACCATGCCCAGGAACTCGAGCAGCGCGACGCCGAACATGTAAATGTCCGACTTTTCGCCCGATGGCCGCGGGCCGTGCTGGTGCTCTGGCGGCCGATACGTGGGGTCGCCGACGTGCGCCTGGCGCTCGGCCGTCGCCGTGTCCGCCATGAGCGACACGTCCGCCAAGTAGAACTTGATGACGCCCGGGCCCTCGCGCCGGTACAGGATGTTGGCGAGCTTGAGGTCGCGGTGCACCAGCTGCCGCTGGTGCATGTACCGCAGCGCGCCGAGGCACTGCACCAGGAAGGGCTTGACCAGCGGCAGCATCTCCGGCGCCGGCTCCATCTTTATGCATGCGTGCCCCTTGACGAGCTCCGCGGCGTTGCCGTCGCACAGCGGCATCCAAAGCAGCGGGTCACTATTTGGAGTCCACCAGCTCTGATGATGCACCAGTTTGATAATGTGTGGCTAAGGGAAAAAAAACACGCGTCAGTGAACCCCCGTCGTCTACTTAGAACCAACAGCCCAACTTACATGCCGCAGCCGGTCGAGAGCGAGCGCCTCTTTCTTGAGTTCGCGTATGAGATACGGCCTCTCCGCCGGTAACAACGCCTTCCTTTGTGAGTTTACCGTCTTCATCGCGTACTCTTTACCGTCGCGGAGGCTGACCACGAGGAAAACGGAGCCCGTCACACCGGCCCCCAGCTGCTTGTAGGTGTGTATCCGCCGCAGCGGCAGGCCCTGCGCCCCGACGTGCGACGTCAGCGGCGTCCTCGACGTCACAGGCTCATAGTCTTGTGGTCCCAGCGCTTGGAATGGCCGCTTGCCCCGCGTCGTCGAAGACGCCGCGTCCCGGGCCTCGTACTCCGCCCGGAGCGACAGGCGCCTTCTCCTCACGGACTCCCAACCCAAGTCTGGGAAGCCCCAGCACAGAGAGAATTCTTCACCACTGTCAAATGAGATGGTGTAGTAGAACTCGGGGGTCATGGGCAGCACGCAGGTGTCGCCCGCGCAGCGCAGGGCGATCCCTTCACCACGCTTGCCGGACACCCCGGTCGGCGTTGCCAGCACTCTCGTCGGGTGCCCTTGGTCGCTCACGTCGCAGACCATCAGGTCGCCGGCCTCGGTGATTGTAAAAAAGCAGCCGCTGTACTTTGTTAGCAGGGCGTTGTGGAAGGCTTGCCGTTTTTCCAGTCCGGCGATACTGGCAGACATACGTTCTATAATCAGACCTACTCAACTTCACATCGTCATCTTCTTCATCGCCGACGTAGGCAATGGCCCGCGCGTCGCGCTTTGCTTTCTGATCGCGAAAGAACGCCATGCTACCGGTAGCATGTTTATTCCGGTAGTATCTGCATACGCTTCTGGCCGCCTCCTTGGTCAGTGGGACGAGGCAGAATACGCAAAAGTTCGTGCTTGCCACCGATGAAGACATCTTGACGTTTCTCGACGCATGCCAAGACCATGGAGCTGGCTCCAAGCGTTTTATACTACATTGTCGTCCAGTATAACCTTGAAGTGTTCCCACGTTGGGGCTCGCATATGCGGTCATCTGGTCTTTATCGTGGATGTGCCAATGCGGGATCTCTACTTTTACCGTCTACACTTGCCTTCGCGTTTCGCTTGGCGCTGCACTACCTGAGCCCATTGAAATGCGGGATAAAAGTATTTGGGACAGTATGTGTATTTTATTGTGATTCAATGTATATATATGGTACCGCAGTCATTCATACAGCCGCCTGTGCAACCAACTGACGGTTGGCCACACCGAATACAGTGTGACTGAATCAGTCGCCCAGAACCTGGGGTTTACAGGACAATGCAATTCTGAAAGGCCCCCAGTCTCACAAAATACAGCCTGCACACTCGTCTGCAGGAAAGGGGTTTCCTGATGCTGGGTATAAATCTTTTGTCCCAACTAACATGCAAGGGAAATTCCCTATCAAAAAAGAAAAAGAAAAGCAAAAGGAGACTTTAGTGTGCCGTCAAGGTCGTATGACTATGTATATAAACAGGATTTGCTTTCAGTGACTATAAGCTCACGCTTTTATAATGGAAAATGGGTGTCACAGCGAACTGATAGTTGTTGAGTGGCAGCCAAAGAGGCCGCCAGCTGGCAACGCGCTCGCCGTTTTCTTGCCGGGCCGTCGGGCCTGCGTGATAAGTCTTTGTCTTTGTGATCATTTCCGCAACTTGACTCAATCTATCAAGCATCAAAGCAACAATGGATGACAGCAGCAACAGCAACAGCAACAGCAACAACAGCCGCCGCCGTTCTGGCGGCAACAATAACAAGAAAAGAGGTCGAGCCACAGCCTCGCGCCCCAATAGTCGAGCCACTCGCATAACAGCAGCCAGGCCTCGGGCTCGGGCTCGCATCACGCCGGCGTTGTTGTTTTCCAGCCCCCTTTCCCGCTCCCCGCCGGCTGCATGGAGGAGACCAGCCACAGCTTCGTCACGAGATGCACCCGCAGAGACATGACCCGAGCCTTCCACGCCGCCATGGAAAAAACCACCATGGGCGAGAATCGAGCCGTAATCATCGAATTCAGAGACTGCGACCCTTTAGAGACTTCAATACTGGCGAGGCTCCTGCCCAGCATCGCTGGTGACCCAATCCCTCCCCTCCCCTCGTGGGATGACCCGTGAGATGATGCCCCGGCCAATGGCCAGACTCGCCTCCTAGGGATGGACACTACATATCCGATACCCCCTGCCCCCGCCCGGCTCGACTCTGGCAGACCCCGTGGAAGCCGGCGTGGCAGTCATGGACCTCGTGGAGGCGGCCGCGACGAAAGCTGAGCCAGTCGCGACTTTGACTCTGGCTCTGCCCCCCCGACGGAATCCAATCAGCTCTTTCTCTCATATTCCTATACCTGGTCTTATGACCTTCCTACCTCTGTGCGTACCCTCATGTGTCAAAGTGCCCGTATTGAACACGCAGGAAGCATTTAGCAACGCTCTACATGAAAGGTATTATATCTTGGTTGCGTGTAAAAAGAAATGTTGGGAACAAGCAGGCGCAGGTCGACAATACAACTGGCCGCTGTCAACTTCAACCCAACATACTTGTCAGTGTCGTTCAAGTAGAGCTCGCAAATGCGCCACAAAATGACCTGAAGTATGTATGAGATAGATAGTTATATGCTGTTGTTTCTACTCTATGCATCATCATGACTGTTAATTTCGTAAAGTGTCTCAACAGACACCTCCGCCCAGTAACAAGGTGCACCGCTGTATATAGCAGACGACGCGAATGAGGACGCTAATCTCGAGCTCGAAAAAACATCAATAAAAGCGCAGTAAATCAATCTGAAGCATTAAATTGAGTAACACAACCACCATATTTGGCGGAGATGGATCTTTTATTCTAATAAGCCACCATATACACTGCCCTAACATGCGTAATATCTGTTAGCGGCCGTTGTTGGCAAAATCAAGATGAAAGCTTTCACTCAACGCGTGACAAGCACCATCGAGGTTATATACAAAAGTACTGAGACTGCTGGTACATACGACCATAGATAACAGAGAATTCGGGGTCCCGTCTCGTTCTTGATAGTGGTTATATGGCAGGCTGGAAATGCGGTCGTTGACTCAGAAAATGGCGGGCCTTACTTCTTTTTTTGGAGGTGCTGCGACCGGAAGCTCCCCACTAGTCCTATCTAAGCATAGTGCTGAGAAAAAACAAAACCCACCAGCTTACGGAGGCAGACACCGTTTTGGACGGATGAATTTTTCCACAACGGCATCGGGCCCTTTCATCTTCAACCCACTATGTTCACGCCTTCTCTACAGCCACACCACATGCACTGTTAAGGGGGTTGACGTGTCCTCTACAGCATGTGTGCCAACGCTCCCCGACCAGTGGTGGCTAGACCTCTTTGCTGCCTTAGAATTAAGGCTCAGCTCCAGCTTTCCTTGGTAGCTAATGCCGCCCATGCCACCTGGTTACAATGCGGGGCGGTAGACCAATTTTCTCCTCATCCATCATGCTCGACATGTGCCAGCGGACCTTTGGCGATGGCAGCCCCTCACCATCGCCATCAGATATCCCTCCAGGGTTTTGTGAACCTATCGTCCAGCCCGCCCCTCACAAAAGATGCTCGAAGTCAAGCCAACGAGCGATTCCATCAGATCGTCGAGCACTTTACTAGCAGCGACCATAATTCTACCAGTTATAATAGGCCGAAGCTAGTCGGACTAGTGTACCGATATGCTATATCGTTGCAGTCCAAAGACAATGTCTTGCGCGCCTTCTTTCGCGCAATGGGACTACCTATGGAGGGGGGCGCTGTCGACTTTTCTGATGAGAAGCACACTGAAACTTTGCGTTCCCGTGTAGTAGGATTCGCCGAGCACCTAGTCAACAACTTCTTCATGCCACTACGGGCGTCGACCGCGCGTACACCCCAGCCAACGCCTCATTACCGGTCTGCGACTTTGAGGTCAAGCAGCCGAGACTTTATCGGAACGCCAGAACGGCTGTCGACTCTCCGTGGCGACTGCTTGATCCGCGATAGGTATCGTTGCGTCATATCACGAGCATTCGATATGAGCAAGGCACGCGAACAAAACAACCCAGGAGGACAGATATTCGATGACAAAGGCGACCCTATTACTGATGGCAATATCGATTGGCTAGAGGTTGCTCATATTTTACCACACTCCTTGCTCCACGTTGGATCGGAATCCGAAGAACTGGTATGTATCTAACGTTTACGTCTACTACTAAGTGTTTCTTTATTCTAATAGCTCTCTAGAGTGAATCAAGAAAGACAGCTCTAGAGATTCTTAATATGTTCGATAGTGACGTTGTTCATCTCATTAATGGGGTGGAAGTTGACCGACCGCATAACGCCATAACACTTACTCTCAGCTTGCACCGAGCCTTCGGAAATTTCGATCTTTACTTTACGCCAATTACCGACCACCCGCATACATATGAGATTAAAACCTTTCGAGGGATTGGATACACAATGCTGCCTGTTACAAGGACGCTGTATCTCGCATCGGACCATCAGATCGACCCACCTTTGCCACGCCTTCTTGCTCTGCACCGTGCTATTGGACAAATTCTGCATCTTTCAGGGGCTGGGGAGTATATTGATAATGTTTTCCGCAAGTTCGAAGATGGACTGGTACAACACGATGGATCGACGCCGTTAGGGGAACTTGTGCAGTTAAAAATGAAGGAGTGGAATGCCACTCCCGTGAACTCATGAGGTAGAAGTTGCATTCTAGGACGGATGGTGCCCTTATGGCCCATAAGATCGTTGTTGAGGAAAGAATTACTCTATTCCTAGTACAACGTAGCGTCCTCAACACTTGTTCGACTTCTGCATGTTGCAGCCTACTGAGCCTCGCCAAAGTGTCATACTCCTCATCTCTCAGTGCCAGAATTCTGCCGTTCTGCGGCGTGGTATCATTTTAGAGCTGCTCAGCGTTCGCCGCGAGTTGCTGCTCTTGCATGACGAGCTGACGTAGTCTCGCTTCTTGCTCCTCGACTCTGCTTTATGACGCTTGTTCGCGCGCATCACCTCCTAATGTACGTGCCAGTCTCTGCCTTTATAAAGACGTTAACGGTGAATGCTACTCCGCCATGATGATATAATCAAAGACGTGTACGCCCTCCGTCACATGGAAATCAGTAATGGGCATGTTAATATTCTGGTCGAAAAAAGCAGAGTAGATGAAGCGCTAAACAAAAAAACGAGGTCAAATCCGAGCCGTGCTAAGGCATCGGCACGTGCGGTTTGTCTAGAAACACGTTAGGTTTGTCTCGGCTGCGTGAGGTGTTCCGCATCGAATAGGTGGTACAATAATGCCATCCACCCCATCTTCCTCATTAGATATTATGCAGGGATCAGTTGCGCTGTAGAAAATATCTGCGCAATCAGTTGTATGCTGGTGGACGTGTTTTTTTACTCTAATTCATCTGCCTTTCGGGCGGTTGTCAACAGCCTGCGGGCGATGGCTTGGCCCGGTTCCGCTGTACCAGAGCCTTGATCTCAAAACCAAGCTTCTGCGCCAGGCGAGCAAATCGAAACACCACGATCTCATCGGCGTGTCTTGTCTCAGCAATCGCAAGCTTTTGTTTGCGCGGTCTTAGCATGCTTTGTGTTCACGCAGTGCATAAAGCCACCAACTGTCGGTAGGCAACGTCAAAGCTGTCTGCTCTCGGCATCGGGATGGATCTGAATGAAGATTAAGAGGTCTGTATAATACACTCACCCTCATCCGCGTCTTCTATCGAGAATGCATTCTCAAAAGAGCGTCGCATAGACTGCTCGGCTCCTCGAGGGACGAGGCGTCTCATAGTCCGTATTCAGTATCTAACAAATTCCTAAAGGCTGTTGGATAAAAGACAAGTCGAGGGATTCTTGAACCACGCGCTAAGCTTTAGCATCTCGTTCTACATGATCAGGGGACTTTGGATTGCCGCCCGCATTATCCATCACTTCGCCTCTATAAATCACCCTGCCAACGGTCCCTCCATCCCAAGCCCGCGGAGAGGTACATGCCGTTTGGAACACGCGACTTTGCTGGAAGTCTTGTTTCATCGCCTCCACGCAGATACGTGGTCCGCTGGCCCGGGTGCCGTGACAGCGCGTATTGGGTCGCATCCGAATGAGTATGCCTCTGAAAAAGCACCAGGGCGCGGTTCAAAGGCTCCTGTAGCGCCCACCACACCTGAAAACGCAGCCGAGTAGACCAGAAGCTTGCTTGTTGCAGGGATGCTGAAAGCGTAAGCTACGGTGTTACTTCAGTGTAGTGTTCTCCGACCGCTATATGGCCTGGGTTTAGTCTCATCCCTTGGCTTCCAACTTTGTTCAATGTTGTTTCTATTAAACTGATGTGAGGCGCAGCTTGGAGTAACGTGTCCTTTTACGATGGACAGCCTTTACCCAGTTCCAGGTAAAGATGCCAGAGAATCGAAGTATAATGACTGAGGCGGCTGTGAGCGGCCCGAGGATGGAAAACACCGTGAAACCGTATGCCGCAGACTGGAACGCATCATTGTGGCCGAGGGATTCGGTCGCCAGCCCGACCTGCATGGCAGTCAGGACAATGGCGATATACACTGTCGCGCTGGCCAGCCAAGCAAAGTGGTCGTGGAAGAAGGCGCCATACCGATCCCATCGAGCTATGTACCCGCGCATCGGCGTCCGTGCCAGGGCGTATATCTTGTTTAGACGACTCAGACGTAGCTCACCGTGGACGAAACGCGGGTCGATGCGGGGGTAGATATGTTCAGTGTCCAGCTGCCCGACGAGCATCCGCCATCCGTACCATGTCACTTCTGGCGGCACTAGATGCTTGTCTTGGGCGATACGGAAATCGCTTTCGTGCAAAAGGAGCGCGGCGTAGGAGAAAAGGAAGCCAAGCGCCCGTTGGCGGAGGCCTGGAAGCCTGCATTCCGTCTGGGTGGCACTGCTCGTGTCAGGTGAGCACCGGCATTTGCCGCAGCAGAGGTATTGAGCCCAGAAGGCTCGGTCCAGGAGGAAGCGGGGGATCGGCTTGAGAAATATCCTGCCGGCTGTCCAGACGAGGTGCATGTCCATCCGCTCCGTGACGAATATCTCCCGCCCTAGCAAGAGCTGATGGTGCAGAGCACGCGGCGGCAAGGGCAGACCCGCGACCCAGAGCCAGCCGTGGATGCTAGCGAGCCTCCGCAGGTCGAGCTCTTCCTCGACACAGGCCATGACATGCTGGCCGACAGCGGCCAAGTCACCAGACTCTTTGCGATATAGTGCGGGCAACAGCGTCAGGAGCCGGTCGTGCTCGCCTTGGCCCGCGACGGCGTGTTGCCCGAGGAGCTGGATGGAGAAGGGAGGTGCCTGTTCGCCGATCCGTCAGCTCAAACGCGTCGCGACGGAGAGTGTGATGCAAAATACCGAGCATTTCACGGTCGCCATTTTGCCTGTAGGGGTGGTCGAGCATTGTTGTAGAGGCAAAAGTTGCCCGTCGGTCGCGTCGACATGATCACGCAGCACCATGCGTCTCGGACAGCCATAGCCTCCTTGTCGCTGTGCAAGACAAATACATCCAAGTAATGATTGGACGGTGTACATGCAGCCGTACATAGTAATGATTGGCGTGGCATCGGGCGTTGGTGGGTTGCGCCCTTGTGGCATGGTTTTATTGGATGGCTCGGGAGCTGAACTGCACATTTGCTGCAGAAAGAACCTGCCACCTCATCCTAGCGTCACTGTCCTGGCGGGTGAGGCTCAGGCTCTGCTGCCTTTCTGTTTCGCGTCCACTTGGAGCTTGGTCTGCCATCCATAGGAACGAGGAAGCTCTTTGAGCAGGGTGTTGTGGAAGCAACCAGACGCTGCTATGGTTGGGGTGATTCATTCGCTAACTAGTGCGGTTCCTGGAGTGCTGCCGACGCGCCATGGCGCACCAGAGATGCTTCACTGGGCGCGTATGCATCATGTAGTGGTGCTTACGACAAGCATCGATTCCTCCGCCACTTGCACTCGAACAAGTTCTGCGGGAATCGACCCCCGGCAACTCCAGGGCGGGAGAATCGAGGCCTTGCAGCCATGCATCTGTGCAGGAATGAAACCCCGTAACACCCCCTCTCGTAACCGCCCGCTATGCATTGTTAGGCATCATTTTTCCTCTACCAAATTGGCCCAGGCAGTTCACGCTTGAGCTATTCTCGTATTCTTTTTATCGCTTCCTAGTCGGACTTTTTCATGCTCAGCTCTCCAAATGGCTATGGAGTGGAGATGGATGACTAGCTGGTGGGCTTGCTTGGTCATAGTGACACTCCTCCTTGCCAGGTCGATCCATCGCGTCATTAGCAAGATTTGTCGACCCCGCGACGAACTACGCTCTGGGATACTGCAAAACCTTACCCCCACGCTTGAAGATGCTAAATTCGAGTCCGTTGGAACTACTCGCTCGAACTACACATGATTACTAACCTTGGTGCAGGATCATCGCCGTCCCTGGCCTCGGTGCACATCCGTATCACACGTGGGAGGCTCGGAAAACCCCAGGACCCAGTGCCGCCGAATACCAAACTTCACAGTCTGCCAAAGTTCACCTCCTGAAAGATCTCCTCGCGCGCGACTTCCCTAAAGCCAGGATCTGGAATTTTGCCCATGACTCCAACTGGCTGATTGACGCCCCTGTTAAGACCACCGCGGAGATTGGCAAATGCCTCATCACGGAGATCAAGGACAAGCGATCATCCCCCGTAAGGATCACGACGCCCATGGCCGGGCATTGCTAACGCTTCTTACTAGCACCTCCCTATTATTTTCATTAGCCACAGCCTAGGTGGTATCATCATCAAGCAGGTACGGTTGTGCCCTAAACGGTTCACCCTCGTGTCTTCTGACCTTCACAAGGCTCTGTGCAGCAATGACTCCCAAGAGATCGTCGATGATACATCGGGTATCCTGTTTCTCGGAACCCCTCATCAGGGCTCGTCGGTCTCCGTTGCTGGCGCTCTATTGGCCTGGATAACCGGTTTCCTTGGATCGGACACGACATTACTTCTGTCTCTGAAAAGTAACGACCAACAGCTCAGCACTCTTGCGGCAAACTTTAAGCAGTGCATAGCCTCCTCAAACAAACGTCGACAGGAGAATATTCGGATCTCATCATTCTACGAGACTAAGAAAACGTACCTGTTCGGGCTATCGCTAGGCGTCGTAAGTGAAAGCACTTCCTTGCCAGCAGCCATCTAACCTTTTGCAGATGGTTTCCCAGAATTCTGCCGTGGTCCATGATGATGCCGGTGAGAGCCACAGCATCGAAACGGATCATTCCGGGCTCAACAAATGCGGTGAGCCGAACGATGCGCTCTACACGAAGCTGACGGCCGCGGTGCGACACTTAAAAGCCCCATCGCTGCTTGAGCAGGCCGACACATGGATACGCGACAAACACTACACAGCGGACAGGCTGAAGATTGAGCGCCTCTCGGGCGAGCTGCTGCCTATGGAGCAGTGCTATATTAACCTAGCCATCGTGGAACAATCCGGCCAAGACGCAGGCCATTCAAGAAAGGAAGGGGACACAGCGCCGTCCCCGTTCTCCATCCTCGCCCGACAGAAGGTTCAGACACCCGACAAGACTATGCAGGTCGAGTTGGTGGCACTTTTCAACGAACGCAACGGAAGAGACGACCGACCGATGCATCCACGAAGAATCTTGATTCGAGGACGTGCGGGAGTTGGCAAGACCACCTTGTGTAAAAAGATTGTCCATGAATTCTCTAAAGGGGCGTTAGGCAAATGGAATGAGTTATTTGAGCGCGTGCTTTGGGTGCCTCTGCGAAATCTGAAGCTGCCGGAAAGATGCGGTATGCCTAAGTACACCTTTGAAGATCTCTTCAGCCATGAATACTTGCTGCCAACAAATGGACAAAATCTTGCTAGAGCGTTGTTCCACGCCTTGAATACAGAGAACAGCAAGACTCTATTTCTCCTCGACGGCCTGGATGAAATATCTCAGGACCTAACAGGCGACGGCGGTATGCCCCGATTTCTCGACGAGCTTTTAAGCCAGCCTAATGTTGTCGTCACGTCTCGACCTTCCGCCACGTCTCCGTCGAATCTGCACCTTGAGTTGGACACAATTGGATTCGGCCCCGATCAGGTGAACGAGTATATTCAAAAGTCCTTCACTAATCGGGAAACGGCCGAAATGGATCAGATCAAAGTCAACAGAGTCCAGTCATTTCTTCAAGAGCGTTGGCTTATTCAGGGTCTTGTGCGCATCCCAATTCAGTTAGACGCCCTTTGTTACACCTGGGATGACCTAAAACCTGACATTATACTGAACACCATGACTGGCCTTTACAGGGAAATCGAGCTAAAATTATGGAAGAAGGATATCCTGCGATTAGAAAAGAGACACGAGGACAAAGTGTTGACCAAGGAGAATTTAGCAGCGGCTGGGAGGCGGAAGATTGAGCGATTCGTCGAGGACGAGTTGGCGTTCATCGAGAGCCTCGCCTTTACTGGGCTATACAACGACGTAATTGATTTCGCATCGGATCACTTAGACAGCGTATCGGATCACTTCACGCCAAACCTTTTACCTGGCAAGACCTTGCCGTCACTCTCTTTCCTACGGACGTCTGATCGCTCAACGAAATATTGTGACCAAAACTACCACTTTCTGCATTTGACCTTTCAAGAATACTTTGCGGCACGGTATTTTGCACAGCAGTGGAAGGACCAAAATGCACAACTCCAATTTCTTACATTCGGCAGTAAGGGTACGGAGACAACAGTAAGTTCCACTGCTGGATTTCTTCGGAAACATAAATACACAGCACGCTATGACATCTTTTGGCGATTTGTGGCCGGCTTACTTGATGCGGATGGCCAGGTAAGCAGGTTCATTGACTTTGTTGAGGCGGAACCGCTCGATCTGTTGGGTCCTACGCATCAGCGGCTGGTCATGCATTGCTTGAGCGAAATATCAAGTGACTTGCCAATGCGACAGGCTCTGGAAAAAAGACTGACCCGGTGGTTGCTCTTTGAATACAAATTCAATGGAACTGCGAGGCTAGCAAGCGAGGTGGAGTTTCCCGACGCAGCCCTGAAAACGTGCTTACTTGACGAGTCCAGTGATGCTCGGGAGACAATTCTGCGGTCGTTAGCCAATCGAGCCTCAATTTCGCAAAGTATCATTGAACAGGTGGCGGCGCGGCTCGACGACAAGGACGCAGGGGTTCGAGCGGCCGTCATAAAGGCCCTAGGCAGTCAAGCGGCGCTGGCTAATGAGGTGCTTATTGCCATGGCGGGACGACTCGACGACGAGGACTTAAACGTGCGACTGGCTGCCGTCAAGGCTCTTGGCGGTCAGGTGGCGCTGCCTAACGAGATACTTATGGCTATGGCGGCGCGGCTTGATGACAGGGACTGGAGTGTGCAAAACGCCGCCATCGGTGCGCTAGCCAGGCAAGCGGCGCTGCCTGACGAGGTTCGTATGGCTGTGGCAACGCGACTTCCCGATGAGGGCCCATGGGTGCCAGTCCCCGCCTACGACGCGCTCGCCGTGCTGGCGGCGCAGCTTGATGAGGGGCCCACGACTGTGGCGGCGCGGCTCGACGACGAGGACTGGGTTATACGAATAACTGCCGTCGGCGAGAACTGCTTCACAAGAGCCGCCACTATCGACGCACTAGCCGAGCGGGCTATTTTGCCCGGCCGGGTATTTATGGCCGTGGCGGAGCGGCTTGATGACGAGGACTCATACGTGAGAAGGGCTGCCGTTGAGGCGTTAGGCGGTCAGGCCGCGCTACTTGACGAGGTACTTCTGGCAGTGGCGGAGCGGCTTGACGACGAGGACTCATACGTGCGAAGGGCTGCCGTCGAGGCGTTAGGCGGTCAGGCCGCGCTACCTAACGAGGTAGTTATGGCTATGGCGGCGCTGCTTGACGACGAGGACTCTCGGGTGAGAAGCGTTGTGATTGAGGCGCTAGGCGGGCGGATAGCGCTGTCTGACGAGGTCCTCATGGCTGTGGCGGCGCAGCTCGACGGCAGGGACTCAAACGTACGAAGCGCAGCCACCGACGTGCTAGCCGGGCGGGCAGTACTACCTGATGAGGTAATCACGGCCGTGGCGGCGCGGCTTGGCGACAAGAACCCGGGCGTGCGAAGCGCCGCCGTCGATATCTTAATGCGCAAGCGCGAACAGTTTTGTCGCCGTCTCTTTATAGGACCTCTCGCTGCATCTGTCTACAAAATTTTGCTTGAACGAAGTTTTACAGAACAAATAAGTTGGTATATTGAAAGAGATAGATCCTATGTCAGCATGCCAGACAGCGTTCGGGAATGTTTTATTGATACTCAGCAGAACGAAGTTAGGGAATGGATAAACAGAGAGCGGCCGAAAGACTGTCCATCAATTAGCGGCGAGTAAAGAGGGTTAACTTTAATATATAGAGACTAACTGTACTTTAGCTTTATTCATTCATTGTTTTAATACGCCCGGTGGCTTCCAGCCAATAGGGCTCACTAGCTATACTACTGTACAGTTCTGGCTGTCTCTCACCATCTCGTCATCGAACAGATACATTGCTGATTCCCTCACACTATTGTAGGGCCATTCTTTACTTCGAGGTCACTATTTGACGGTTGCTCATTAGCAGGGCTGGTTGTAGGACGAATCGCCACACCGCCAGTTGACGGACAGTCTGTGTGTCGCACCTCATATATCCATTCCATGACGTCGTCTTTTGGGGCATTGATAGAGATTTCCCAAACACCAGCTGGGATATTGATACAATGACTATCCGTTTCGACATACCAACTCAACTGTTCTATAAAACTTCGTTCAAATGAAGCCTTGAAAAACGATACGATGAGAGGTTTCGTATGGATGGTATGAGAGAAATTTTCGCGGTTACGCATTAGAGTCTTGACGGCCATGTTTCGTACACGCCAGTCCTGATCGTCGAGCCGCGCCGCCATGGCGGTTAGTACCCGATCAGGCAGCAACGGCCGGCCACCTAAGGCCTCGACAGCGGCCCGTCGCACATCCCAATCTTCATCGTCAAGCCGTGCCGCAACGGCCGTGACCACCTCGTCAGCCAGTGCCGCACACCCACCTACGGCGTCAACAGTGGCCCTTCGTACGTAGTAATTTTCATCATTAAGCCGCGTTCTTATTGCAGTCAGCACCTCATTAGGGAGCGCAACCCGTCCGCTCAAGGCGCGGATAGTGGCACTTCGCACATTCCAATCCTCATCGTAGAGGCGAGCCGCCATGGCCATAAGCATCTCATTAGAGAGCTTTGCCTGTCTACCTAGGGTGTCAACGGCGGTTCTTCGTGTGTATGAATTGTCATCATCGAGCCGTGCTACCACAGCTATAAGAACCTCATTAGGCAGCGCTAGTTGCTCGCGAAGACTGTTAATAGCGGCGCTTCGTACATTAGAGACCCCATTATCAAGCCACGCTGCCATAGCTATAAGTAGCTTATGGGGCAATGCTGCCTGTCTGCTAAGGACCTGGACGGCTACGTTTTGTACGTGCCAGTCCTTATCACTAAGCCGCGCCACTATGGCCATGAGCACCTTGTCAGATAGTGCCTCTCGCTCAGCCAGGGTCTCAATGGCGGCTGTTCGCATGTATAAGTCTTTGTCGTCAAGCCGCGCCAGCATGGCTATGAATACCTCGTCAGGCAGCGCCGCCCGGCCACCTTGAGCGCCAACAGCAGCAGCTCTCCACAACTCCCCGACCTTATGATTAAGCAGTGCTGCTATAGCCGTACTTATCTCGCAAGGTAATGTCGGCCGCCCACATAGAGCTCGGACAGCAGCCCTTCGCACGTCTGAGTCCATATCGTCGAACCGTGCCGCTATGGCTATGAGCACCTCGTCAGGTATCACCGCCCGCCCACCTAAAGCCTCAACAGCAGTCGCTCGCTTCACGGCGTCTCCATCGTCAAGCCGTGATGTCACGTCCATCAACACTTCATCAGGCAGTACTGCTCGGCCACGTAGGGCCTTGACAGCGGCTCTCCGCACGCTCCAATCTTGATCGTCACATCGTGCCGCAACGGTCGTAAGTAGCTTATCAGATAGCACTGCGAGCCGGCTAAGAGTTTCAATAGCAGCGATTCGCACGTACGAGAGCTTACTATCAAGTCGTGCTGCGACAGCCTTAAGCACCTCATCAGGTAACATTTCCCGTCTTCTCAGAGCATCGATGGCGGCGCTCCGCACGTGCCAGTCCCCATCGTCAAGCCGCGCAACCACGGCGGTGAGCACCGTGATAGACAGCGCCTCTTGCCCAGCTAGGGCTCCAACAGCGACCGTTCGAATGGTGTCATCCTCACTATCGAGCCGCGCCGCCACAGACTCAATAATGCTTTGTGGAATTGAGGCTCGATTGGCTAATGACTGCAGAATTGTCCGCTGAGCGTAGTTGGACTCTGTGAGCAGGGAGGTCTTTAGGGCTAACTCAGGAAATTCGCTTTCACTTGCTAGCCGTGCACTTCCTCTGAATTTGCATTCGAAGAGCAACCACAGTGCCAGCCTTCTTTCAAGGTCCTCCCTGCCTAATAACTTGCTTGAAATCTCACTCAAGCAATGCATCACCAGTCGCTGGTGCGTAAGGCCTAAGAGATCGAGCGGTTCCTCCTCGATTGTACTAATAAATTCTGGTGCCTGGCCAGCTCCGTCAAGCAGGCCGGCAACAAAGCGCCAGAAAATATCATAGCGCGCTGTGTATTTGTGTCTCTGAAGAAATTCCGTAGGGCGACTTGTGCTAATTTCCTTGGCTTTGCTACGAAGTGTGAGAAACCATAGTTGTCCTTCTTGGACCTTCCACTGCCGCACGAAATACCGTGCCGCAAAGTACTCTTGAAATGTCAAATGAATGAAATGATAATTTCGGTTATTGTATCCTGATAATGGGTCTGAGGTCCGCAGGAAAGAGAGTGACGGTAAAACCTTATCGGGTAAGAGACTCGGCGTGAATAAGTCCGATATGCTGTCCAGGTGTGCAGGTGTGAAGTCCAATATATCGTTGTGCAGTCCAGTAAAGGCGAGGCTTTCAATGAAAGCCATTTCATCTTCGACAAGTCTTTCAATCTTTCGCCTGCCTACCGTTTGCAAATATCCTTCATGCAACTTTTTGTTGTCGTGCTGCTTCTCCAACCGGAATACATCTTTCCGCTTCCATAAATTCAGCTCAATTTCTTCGTACATTCCGGTCATGGTGTTCGGTATATCGTCAGGTTTTAATTCATCCCACATATAGCAAAGCGCATCCAATTGAATTGGGATACGCACGAGACCTTGAATGAGCCAACGCTCTTGAAGAAACGACTGAACATTATGGACTTTAGTCTGATCCGTTTCGCCCGTTTGTGAATTAGTGAATGACTTTTTGATATACTTGTTCACCTGATTGGGGCTGAATCCAATTGTTTCTAGTTCGAGGTGTAGGTTTGTTGGAGCATTGGCGGACGGTCGGGACGTGATGATGACGTTGGGCTGGCGTAGAAGCTCGGCGAAGAAGCGGGGCATACTGCCGTCGCCTGTCAACTCTTGGGACACTTCGTCCAGGCCGTCGAGGAGAAATAGAGTTTTGCTGTTCTTGCTATTCAATGTGCGGTACAATGCCCCAGCAAGGTTCTGTCCATTTGCTGGCAACGAAAACTCATGACTGAAGAGATCTTCAAATGTATACTTTGGCATACTGCATCTTTCTGGCAGCTTCAGATTTCGCAGAGGCACCCAGAGGACACGGTCAAACAATTCGTTCCATTTGCCCAACGACCCTTTAGTAAATTCATAGACAATCTTTTTGCACAGAGTAGTCTTGCCAACACCCGCACGTCCTCGAATCAAGATTCGTCGTGGGAGAATCGGTCGGCCGTCGCTTCCGTTGCGTTCGTTGAAAAGTGCCGCCAACTCGACCTGCATGGTCTTGTCGGGTGCCTCAACCTTCTGCCGAGCGAGGATGGAAAATGGGGATGGCGCTGTGCCCCCCTTCTTTGAGTGACCTGCGTCTTGGCCGGATTGTTCCACGATGGCTAGGTTGATGTAGCACTGACCCATAGACAGTGACTCGCCCGAGAGCCGTTCGATCCTGAGCCTGTCCGCCGTGTAGTGTTTGTCGCGTATCCATGTGTCGGCTTGCTCGAGCGGAGTTCCCTCGCGAATCCTCCCTATCATCCACCGGATTTTGCCGGCGACTTTCTCGTAATCTGGACACTGAAAGTCTCGGAATTTGTTCATCAGAGAGTGCGGTCGATGGAGGGCTATCGGATCAGAGATGATATCTAGTGTTGCCGAAGATCTATCGATCAACTAAAAGTGTCAGTCATAGCACAAAGAGAAGAAGTTCCGCGAAGCTCACCTGTTTCTTTTGGGAAAACCAGCTTGGTAACCAGGGGAATGCCTTGTGCGGTAGACTCGTCTTTCCCAGTTCATAGAAGCTAAACACTTCGCAGGGATTATCCATATCCTGGCATAGCCTGGTGAACTTGCTGACGCTTTCCTCCAGCTGGAAGGTTGATTCCTTCACACTGTCAAGCAGTCTGCTCACCTCTCGACCCTGGATGGAAGCTTTCGCCTTCAAACCTGTCTCTGCCCAGGCAGCAACGTCTTGGAATGACGTCCCTCGGAACGGCGTGGCGAGGAAGACAATGCCACGTGTAGCTCTTCTGAGAGAGTAGTAACTGCTTCTTTTATCGTTCGCATGCACTAGAGCTCTTATCAGGATGAGGCCCCCCAGACACGAGGCGATAAAGACAATAGGTCGATCTTGTTGTCTTACACTGCCTACGAAGAGCGCATTCTCGATGCCGTCAAGCAGCAGCAGAGCATACTCCTCAATTGTCTTTTGGACCAAATTGGACGGTACGAGCAGATCGGCTGGCCAGTCGCACGTAAAAATTCTGACGCGATCCACGCTCGCCGGAAGCATACCGGGGCGCAGCCAGTTGACCCATTTGCGTTTGTTCTTTAGGTCCTGCGGGTCTTTCCATATCCACGTGTCTCGTGACGTGGTATCGAGTCCATGGATGGCGATGATGTCGATGTCTGTGTCTGCTTCGGCCTTGTTGAGTGTGATTTCTTCAAGATGGACCCCTTTGCGCATAAACGGTAACGGATCTAGATCGTCGTTCGCCGTAGATGATGTGGACTTTGAGCACGCGGTGTGACGGAGCCAGATCGAAATGCAGATCATCCCAGCCAGGAGACAAAAGAGCGTTGTCCATCCCGCCGAGACATGCTGATTTGGGCTGATGGAACCAGTAGTTTGATGAGCGGTGTTGGTGGCCATGACTGGCGGGGTGGGGTGCTCGACCTAACGATGTTGCCTGGGGAAGGGGGTCGGCTCCAGTGTTTGACGAAAAGACTTTGAGCTCTGAGAAACACTGAGAAAGGAAAGGTGCCATACATGAAAATGAATGGCAATACAGGACGTTACAAGAAGCGATCAAGAAGCAGTTGAGAAGTTGTCTGTCATTGATGAAGGGTGAGCAAGACGAATCCTGGTGCAAAACTGGCATATGCAGCTGATTACTGCCAGGCACACTTCTGCCCAGTAGCGTTGCCGTCCTGATGCGCCACGGCGCTTCGCCAAACACGCCTGCTTTCTGGAAACGAATAATGCAATAACCAAATATTGTCTAATGTCTGAACTTCTGCGCAGTCCGTGGATATGACTAGAGTTCACTCAACTATGGCTCTCTACTTTTTCCACTGGCTCTGGGAGGCCTTACTCGAAATACGAGAGAGCTGGGCTGTTCTTAAAGCGACTGCTTGACCGCCTTCACCAGATAGCTGTGGCTCTGTTCGTTCGTGCTTCCTCGACGCCGGTGTACTAGAAGGCGACTGCTAACATTGCGATAGGCTCCGCGCCTGCATACATGCCCGACTACGATAAGATACCATCGACAACCGGAACCTTGGCGGGGCAATCTATCACCCGCTCTTCCTGACCATGCCTTCGCTATCCCAACCACAGTACCTTACGGAGAGATATACTTTCTCAGCAAGGGACGTTATGTTAGCATTGGACTAACATCGTTTGTTGATAGGCTCGAATCTGGCGACATTATTAAATACCCAAACCCGAAACCATACTAACCAGAGGAGAAACTGTGTCGACAGCAAATCGAGATCGAAGCCGAGGCTTACAAACGCATCGGCGATCATCAGCGTATTCCGAGACCTATTCATTGGGATGCAAGTGCCTGCTCACTGGTCCTAGAATTTCTTGCGTCGATGGGTAACTTGTATGAGTCGTTCCAGGCCCTATACTATCGGCCATACTTCCAAAACCCTTCATCATGGGCGAGATTGGAGCTGTTCATGAATCTGCAAGACGATTGTGGAGAGGACGTTGCCATTTCGAATTTTCTTTTTTGCATGTTGGATGATGTGACTTTTTTCCAGGAGCGGGTTGGGGCGCTGTGTTTAACTGCACTTATTGCCCTGCACACGGCAAGCTAGTGTGTGCATCGGCGCGCCGCTGCTATGGTTGGGGTGATTCATTCGCTAACTAGTGCGGTTCCTGGAGTGCTGCCGACGCGCCATGGCGCACCAGAGATGCTTCACTGGGCGCGTATGCATCATGTAGTGGTGCTTACGACAAGCATCGATTCCTCCGCCACCTGCACTCGAACAAGTTCTGCGGGAATCGACCCCCAGGGCGGGAGAATCGAGGCCTTGCAGCCATGCATCTGTGCAGGAATGAAACCCCGTGACACCCCCTCTCGTAACCGCCGCCAAGCATTGTTAGGCATCATTTTTCCTCTACCAAATTGGCTCAGGCAGTTCACGCTTGAGCTATTCTCGTATTCATTTTATCGCTTCCTCGTCGGACTTTTTCATGCTCAGCTCTCCAAATGGCTATGGAGTGGAGATGGATGACTGGTTGGTGGTGGGCTGGCTTGGTCATAGTAACGCTCCTCCTTGCCAGGTCCCTCCATCGCGTCATTAGCAAGATTTGTCGACCCCGCGACGAACTACGCTCTGGGACGCTGCAAGATCTACCCCCACGCTACAGGATGCCAAATTCGAGTCCGTTGGAACTGCTCGCTCGACCGGCATGCATTACTGACTTTGAAGCAGGATCATCGCCGTCCCTGGCCTCGGTGCACATCCGTATCACACATGGGAGGCTCGAAAAATCAAAGGATCGAACGAGGCCGAATATCAAATTGTACAGCCTGCGAGAGTCCACCTGCTTAACGATCTCCTCGCGGATGAGTTCCCTGATGCCAGGATCTTGAATTTTGCCCATGACTCCAACTGGCTGATTGACGCGCCCGTCAAGACCACCGAGGAGATTGGCAAATGCCTGTTAAAGGAGATCAAGGCCAATCGATCATCCCCCGTAAGGATTACGACGTCCGTGGCCGGACATCGCTGATGCTTATACTAGCATCTCCCTATTATCTTCATCGGACACAGCCTAGGCGGTATCATCGTCAAGCAGGTATAGCGATGTGCCCTAGTAGTCGAACCTCGTGTCGTCTGACCTCTACAAGGCTCTATGCGGGAGCGACTCCCGAGACATCGTTGATGCTACTGCGGGTATCATATTTCTCGGAGCCCCTCATCAAGGTTCGTCGGTGTCTGTTGCTGGCGCTGTGCTGGCCTCTGTGACCGGTATCCTGGGATCGGACACGACGCTGCTCCTGTCTCTGCAGAATCATGATGCCCAGCTCAGCAACCTTGCGGATGCATTCGGCTCTCGTATAGCCCCGAACGAACGTCGACCACAAAAAGTTCCGATCATATCATTCTACGAGACGAAGAAGACGTATTTACTCGGGCTATCGCTAGGCGTCGTAAGTATGTGCATTTCTTTCTCGGCAGCCGTCTAACCTTCTACAGGTGGTGTCACGGGATTCTGCCACGGTCCACGCCGATGCCGACAAGAGGCACAGCATCGAGACAGATCATTCCGGGCTTAACAAGTGCGGCGGGCCGAGCGATACGCTGTTCACGGAGCTGGCAGCAGCGATACGACGCCTAAAGACCCCATCGCTGCTCGAGCAGGCCGACACATTAATACGCGACAAGCGCTACACGGCAGACAAGCTGAAGATTGAACGACTCTCGGGCGAGCTGCTGCCTATGGAGCAGTGCTATATTAACCTAGCCATCGTGGAGCAATCTGGCCCAGACGCAGGTCACTCAACAAAGAAAGAGGACACAACGCCTTCCCCGTTTTCCATTTTCATTCGGCAGAAGGTTGAGACACCGGACAAGACTATGCAGGTCGAGTTGGCAACAATTTTCAACGAACGCAAGGGAAGCGACGGCCAACCGATGCATCCACGAAGAATCTTGATTAGAGGCCGTGCAGGTGTTGGCAAGACTACCTTGTGCAAAAAGATTGTTCATGAATTTACCAAAGTCACGTGGGTTAAATGGAACGAATTGTTTGACCGTGTGCTTTGGGTGCCTCTGCGAAATCTGAAGCTGCCGGAAAGACGCAAGAAAGCCCAGTACACCTTGGAACATCTTTTTAGCCATGAGTTCTTACTACCAACGGATGGACCTAACCTCGCTCGTGCGCTGTCCTGTGCGTTGGAAACTAAGAGTAGTAAGACTCTATTTCTCCTCGACGGCCTAGACGAAGTATCTCAGGACCTGACAGGCAACAGCAGCATGGCCTGCTTTCTCGCCGAGCTTTTAAATCAGCCCAACGTCGTCATCACATCCCGACCATCCGCCAAGCCACCGCCGAACCTGGACCTCGAGTTGGAAACCATTGGATTCGGCCCCGATCAGTTGAACGAGTATATCGAAAAGTCATTTACTAATCCAAAAACGAGCGTAATTGATCGCACTAAAAAGTCGACAAAGTCCAGTCGTTCCTTGAAGAGCGTTGGCTCATCCAGGGTCTTGTACGCATTCCAATCCAATTGGATGCCCTTTGTTACACCTGGGATGACCTGAAACCCGACGCTATGCTGAACACCATGACTGCCATGTACAAAGAAATCGAGCTGAAACTGTGGAAGAAGGATGTCTTACGATTGAAGAAGACACACGAAGACAAAGAGTTAACAGAGGAAAATATAGCAACGGCTGGTAGGCGGAAGATCGAAGGATTCGTTAGGGATGAAATGGTGTTTATTGAGAGCCTCGCCTTTACTGGGCTGTACAACGATGTCATCGACTTTACGTCAGAACACCTCGACAGCATATCGGACCGCTTCACACCAAACCTCTTACCTGACAAGACCTTGCCGTCACTATCTTTCCTGCGAACATCAGATCTCTCATCAGATTATCGCAACCAAAATTACCACTTTATACACCTGACATTTCAAGAGTACTTTGCGGCACGGTATTTTGTACGGCAGTGGAAAGATTCGAAGGGACAACTCTGGTTTTTTACACTCAGCAGTATGAATACTGGGACAAAAGCAAGTCCTCCCGCAGAATTTCTTCGGAAACACAAATATACAGCACGCTACGACATCTTCTGGCGCTTTGTTTCCGGATTGCTTGATGGAAGTGACCAGCCACCAGACTTCAAGCCACCAGACTTCATCACTACAATCGAGGAGGAACCGCTCGACCTCTTAGGTCCTACGCATCAGCGACTGGTCATGCATTGCTTGAGCGAAATATCGAGCGACTTGCCAACACGGAAGGCCCTAGAAGAACGGCTGGCACAGTGGCTGTTGTTTCAATGCAAATACAACAAAAGTGCGAGTCTAGCAAGTGAAGTTGAGTTTCCCGAGGTAGCCCTGAAGACTGCCTTACTCGATGAGTCTAGTGATGTTCAAGAGTCTAGGGATGTTCAAAAAACAATTCTGCAGTCGCTAGCTTCTCGAGCCTCAATGCCGCAAAGTATCGCTGAAGTGGTGGCGGCTCGGCTCGACGACGAGGCTTGGTCCGTGCGAAGCGCCGCCGTCATGGCCCTAGGCGGGCGGGCGGCGCTGCCCAGCGAGGTGCTTACGGCTGTGGCGGCGCGGCTCGGCGACGAGGACTGGGTCGTGCGAGAGGCCGCCGTTGATGCCCTAGGCGGGCGGTCGGCGCTGCCCGACGAGGTGCTTACGGCTGTGGCGGCGCGGCTCGACGACGAGGTTAAGTACGTGCGAGGGGCCGCCGTCGAGGCCCTAGGCGGGCGGGCGGCGCTCCCCGGCGAGGTGCTCACGGCCGTGGCGGCGCGGCTCGGCGATGAGGACTGGGTCGTTCGAAGCGCCGCGGTCGAGGCCCTAGGTGGGTGGGTGACGCTCCCAGGCGAGGTGCTCACGGCCCTGGTGGCGCGGCTCGGCGATGAGGACTGGATCGTTCGAAGCGCCACCGTCGAGGCCCTAGGTGGGTGGGTGACGCTCCCAGGCGAGGTGCTCACGGCCGTGGCGGCGCGGCTTGGCGATGAGGACGCGGACGTGCGAAGGGCCGCCGTCCGGGCCCTAGGCGGGCGGGCGGCGCTGCCTGACGAGGTGCTCACAGCCGTGGCGGCGCGGCTCGACGACGAGGACGCGGACGTGCGAAGGGCCGCCGTCTGGGCCCTAGGCGGGCGGGCGGCGCTGCCTGACGAGGTGCTCACAGCTGTGGCGGCGCGGCTTAGCGACGAGGACGGGCTCGTGCGAAAGGCCGCCGTCTGGGCCCTAGGCGGGCGGGCGGCGCTCCCCGGCGACATACTCACGGCCGTGGCGGCGCGGCTTGGCGACGAGGACGGGCTTGTGCGAAGGGCCGCCGTTGAGGCCCTAGGCGGGCGGGCGGCGCTGCCCAACGAGACGCTTACGGCCGTGGCGGCGCGGCTCGACGACGAGGACGGGGACGTGCGAAGGTCCGCTGTTGATATTTTATTACAGAGGCACAAACAATTCTGTTGCACCCTACTGAAGGGGCCTCTCGTCTCGTTTCTTCTCTATAAGGCTTTACTCGAACGGGGGCCTCTCGTCTCGTTTCTCTATAAGGCTTTACTCGAACGGAGTTTTAAGGAACAATTAAGTTGGTATATTGCAAAAGACAACTCCTACATTAACATGCCAGATGGTATTATAGAATTGTCTGTCGACATTGAACAGAACGAATTTTGGAAATGGATAAACGGAGCGCGGCCAGTGGACTGTCCATCAACCAGCGGCGGAGAGAGCTTGTCGCACAACTAGTCCTACTTGGTGGCTAACAATTTTGACGGCAGGCGCATGGGAAAGGATGGTTTGTCACAATGCAGTGGAATCTATATGTACTAGATCACATAGTTTGTAGTCTATTAAACCGCTTGCCCCCAAGAACTGCATTGAATTCAGAACATGTTTACCGAGATGCTCCTGTTGTAAACTATAATCTAAATGTCTTTGCTTAGGAAGGTCGTAGGACTGCGCGTGCATTGAATAATTAGATTCGTGCTCTTTTGTGAATCGGACGCACGTGTTTTGTTCACATGTTTCGCGCCCGTCTGGCCGTGTGGAGCGCGCCGAATGTCCAATGGTTGCAGTCAGGTGTGTGGAAGAGAGTCGCCTGACCTGGAGCACTTGACTTGACTGGGTTTATAGGTGCTGTTGATTAGGTAGACTTAGCAGCCCTGTGGAACTCCAGACAGTAAAGGAGAAAATGCCCTCACCTCACCAACGACAGTGGGCGCGTGGCAACGAACGGCTGGAGCAGACTCCATCAGTAAAAGAATGACGTCGATCTATGACCAGTTGAATTATTCTCGAAGAAACGCAACAGACCTTCTATGTACCTACTGTCGTGGGATAGAAAGAGTTCAGCGGGTGCTATACTACAGATCTGATGGCATCATTTGATATGACAAGATTCATCCCGCACATTACAACTGAAGAATGGTGCGATATCTTTCTATGATGCACTTCTACCACAATAACATACCGCAACAGCATCAGCGTTTTTAGCGTTGTTGAAGCACCAATACACACTGTTTGTCATAGCTTC